AGCAGGTCAGAACCCAGCAGGGAACGGGATGGCAGGTGGTATGGGGACCAGAAAATCACGGGGGGAGGGAGGGAGGGGGGTAGCAGACAGGTGCATGGCAGAGAGGGGGGAGGGGCCAGGGCACAGCAGGTCACAGCTCAAGGAGTCGGTGTGGAAGAGGAGTCACAAGGCCAGATACTCCACTAGATCAGCTGTCAGCACACAGCTAACGAGAAGCTGGTCAGAGCAGCAGAAACAACAAACCAGAACGCCGCTGCAGAATGTCTGGTCAGAGCACAGCTAATCGAGGCGGCAGCAGAGGGGCATTAATCCTCACAGTTGCCTGACGGGAGGGAGGGGTTGGGGGGGGGGGGGAAGCGAGGGTCATGATTGGCCGGAGGGTATCGACTGTGGTGTCTGACTCACGCGGTGCGGCGCGTCGAATCGATCGGAATCAGCTGCGAGTCGGAGTCCAAAGTGCGACCAGAGTCGCACCGCTGATGTGGCTCTTCGGTGTGGATCGATCGCAGCTGTTCGTTCGCTGGTTTAGTGGTCGTCTGATGTAATGGTCGTCCGGCGTAGTGATCGCCTGGTGTAGTGATCGTCTGGTTTAATGATCGTCCGGTTTGCAGACAGCAGGATACGTATTCGTTTGATATTGATTGCAATACTCGCGTGTATAGTTGCGTAGTCGTTTCGTCTCGGATGCGGCATGGCCGCCAACCATGCCTGCCCTCAGCAGCTTGGAATCGCATGCACCCCGCCGCCACAGCGCCAACCACGGTGTGTTTCTAGAATTACGCCAGCTGAGCGTCGCGTTGACCAAAACGCTGCCGAAGCATTATCGAAACATCACTGTGTTCGGCCGAAGTCATAGTATTGTCGTCGAAAGACGGCCGTGAAAATCTGTAAAAAATGCAACGCGACACGCACCGTCCCGCACCCTGTTATGGAGAGCCAGCGACTGTTAGAGGCGTTATTGACACTCAGGAACCATGGTGCAACGGGCTTCGAACCCCGACGTCGCACGTGGCAGCCGAAGGTGCTTACCATTCGGCAATAACACGCCCCGGGCGACGGAAGTCGGCGATCAATTTACGTGCGCCATATCCGCGACGTTCAGCGCACCTGTCTCGCCGCCAGACGGTGACCATCAAGGAGGGCATTCAGTACCGGTTACGGATCGAGTTCCACGTGCAGCGAGATATCGTCACCGGTCTGCGCTACACGCAGAAGACCTACCGCAAGGGCATCCAAGGTCAGTGGACGCCGCGTCGGGGCGAGAGAAGACGCCCGGCCCGGACGAACCCGGCCGGGCGACGGCGTTTGGAGGGGGGGGGGGGGGGGAGAGGGGGCTCAGCTGGGCAGGCCGTGCGTAGGGTGTTGCCCTCGCGTGAGGTATTATGTTGCCGCGGCAGGCTTACGGTGCCTTAGCAAAACACTGGGCCAGAGGTTTACTTGCTGTTTTTATGATTGGCCCGATGTTTCAGCCGCCAGCTTTCGTCTGTGGCTGAGCGGCGGCGGCTGCAGCGTTTGTTGATCGCGCGGCGCGCTGTCAGTCTTGTGATCCGTCCGTCTTGCTTCCGATCTGTTGTCGTGAGCCTCCACGGTCGGATCGGTTCCAAGAGAACTCTGCCCGGTTTTGTCCGTCTGTGTTATGTCAGTTCAGCTGTGTACGGACCATCGGCGGTCCTGCACGCTATCCTGCACGGCATTGACGGTCTGTTGCACCGCAGCATGGCACAGGAACTGCGGTGTTAGACAGTGATCCGGGGTGAAGACTTTCGAGCTGCGTTGAGGGATGTGGGCCACCTGGACTGGGCTAGTGCACTGCTGTAATAGGCAGGTGCTGATGTAATCCAAGTCACGGGACCATGCTGCTCTAAATGCTGTCGGCCACCGTTGCGCTGCGCCGTCTCCCCGCACAGCGGACCTTTCCGTCGTGCGCTCGCTGCTGCTGTGTGAAACCGCGCCCTCCTGCGTCGCCAGTGGACAAGATGAACCAGATGCTGGGGAGCTACGGCCCTCGGCAGGACGTGCACACCCACCTCACCCCCATGGAGGACGCCCCGTCCGGTAAGTGGGCTCACCGGGTCTGCACGGTCGCCAGCGGGGCAGGCCGGGCGTCGCTCAGCGGGCGGCGAACGTCCTCACGGTCACTGACGGTGCGCGCTACCACGGCGTCCGTCACCGCATCATGCACGGACGCGCCGAGTTGCATCTCGCGTGCGTTAATCATTCTGCGCGTGCCTTGCATCCTCGTACCGGTCTGCCTGTGCACACCACCCCTCGTCGTGCTCGCGCCCCGACGCCTCACGCTCTCGTCCTCACGCCCTGTGTCCGTGCCCGCCGCTCCGTCTCCGTGCCGTCGCCGTCTCCGCCGTCGTCGTCGTCGTCGTCGCGCCCGGACCGGGCCGATGGTGGCATGAGGTGCCGCTCCCTGCCTTATCCGGCCGGCGGCCCTGTCTCGCAGCCAGGCGGCGTGACACGCGAGTCCCCGTCGCTCCTGTCCGGACCCGCTTCCGTCTCCGTCCTTATCGACGCCGCCCCGCGAGCCGACGGGTGGCCGGGCCGGGCCCGCGCCGGCCGGCCTGCACCGGCTGGCCTGCACGGCGGCGGCGCGCGCAGAGGTGTGTCCCGCGCGGCGGCAGAGCACGGGCCGCGCGCTCGTCGTCGCCGGCGGCGGCGGCGGCGGCGGACGTGTTTGTGTTGGATGGTGATTGGCTGCTACCCGGTATTGGAATGCACCACGTGAGGCGTTTAGTGCCCCGTGAGGCCGCCGTTGGGCTCATCCGTTCCATTGCACGCTTGTATGCATTCTCCTCTCCCGCCAATGTTGCCTCACACGCCTTATGCAATGGGTTGTTGTATGGGATTAGTTATTGCCGTATGACCAACGTAGTCGGTGCACCCCAAAGCCCCCCCAGCATGGGATTATTTATTCCGCTGTCACGGCTACTGAGTGACTGCGGTCCCAAAGCTGAGTTCCTGTGAGAAAAGTGCACCAGCCGACCTCTCACGTCGTTGCGTGATGACAACGGCCTGATATCGGCCAGCTGGCCTGCCCAATATGCCTGCCGTCTTGCCTCCGGTGTTTGTAAATGCTCAGGTGCTCATTTTTCCCCATTACACATTTACGTCGCTTCCCTGCGCCAGTTGCGTTTGACACCAGCTCGTGGCTCGTATGTTGATGGCCTAGCTCCCCCCCCCCCCACCCCCACCCCCCACCCCGAGTGCGTGGGCTGTTCCGCGCAGGGATAAGCCATCCCCCGCGTGCAAGGCCAGCGCCCCACCAGCCCGGCGCCGCGTGCTGAGCTGGGCGCCGCTCCGTCGGCAGGCATGCTCGCCCGCGGCACCTACAACGTCAAGTCCGTGTTCTGCGACGACGACAAGAACGAGTACCTCAAATGGGAGTGGAGCTTCGAGATCAAGAAGGAGTGGTAGAGTGGCCGGCGACCGCGAGGGAGTGGAGGCTGCGCCGACGGCCGCGCCGTCTGCTTATTTTAGTCGGCGCGCGGCGGAGTAACTGCTGCCCGCCCGATGGCCATCCGTTTTGATGGGATGCGTAGCGATTCGCTTGCGTCAGTTGCCAGATGGGTTGCCAGGCGCCCGGTCGGCGCTGCTGCCGCGCTGTATTTTAGAGCGCCGTGATTGTGGTATTCCGAACGGTGATTGCTGAGCGGTCTCGTGCACTTGGCCGGTCCTTTTCGGTGAGGAAATGTGCGATTTGTGATAATCCTTGATTGCCCGCGTTGTATTCTGGCTTCTTGCTGTTCAGCAGTTATTTTTACGTGAACTTGCAACCAAGATAATTTCATATCACTCTATAATCTATGTTTTGCGTACCTAGATGTGTGCGTGCCCAAACGAATATGATATTGCTTCTCTTTATTGTGCCGTCGTGTGTCTGTTGCGGCGGCATGCCAGCTGCGTTATCGCCGCCCCTGTCCGTAATGATCGTACTGCGAGTCGACATTTACTCTTCACGCCGGCTGTTCTTTGGCACGCTGCCAGCTCCGCTTTTGTACTGTTTTTTGCCGTCGAATCTGCCGACTGGTGCGTCAGCCGAGCGGAGCAGAAGAGTGCGTGTCCGCCCCGAGCGCCTCGGCCGCGCCGCCGGCCCGCTCCCGCCGCCGCTGGCGGGCCGCTGGACTCGCCTCTGCTGCCGCGTGCGTGTGCGCGTCCCCGCCGAAGCGTCGGGCCGGCGCGGACGCCGCCGCCGCCGCCGCCGCCGCCACCCGCCGACCGCAGATCGCGCCGCTTCCGCCCGCGCGGCGGCGGCGGCGGCGGCGGGCGGGCGGGGGGACGCGGGAGGCACTAGACGGACCGCCCGTCGCTGCCCGGCCGGCCCGACGCGACGCGTCCTTGTAATCGGTGTGAACGATTTGATATCTTTGAATAAACTGGAAATTTTCGCTCGGAGGTCATCGTTACGTTGGTAAGAGGGAAGGGTACCGATTGCGGGAGTCAGTGCATAAGATGGCACCCGATGTTGCATCACAGTGATTCATCCGTTTCTTATCCAAGCGATGCATGACGCATATGCATGCAGATGCACGTTTATGGTAGCGGGACGTTGCACAAGCGCAGTGATGTAAATGAGGTGGGGTCGCCCATGTTGTCATGCGTCAAAATATCAACGGCCTGATGTTCTGAAGCGTTGTGCACACAGGCACGCCGTCATCAACATTACCGTATTACAAAACATTTGCTTGTTCTGGAATCGAGCTGGACGAAACAAACCGCACGGTATAGCTGTTGTCATGCGTCAAAATATCAACGAAATAATTTTATGAAGAGTTGTGTACACAGCGACACCGTCATCAACATTAAGTGGCCGCACCTGCTTTTTTATAGCTCGATGAATCAAGTGCGTTTTTCTCCACACGGACCACCGAACGCGAAATATTTCGGTACATTGGGGCAAAACCTCAAGTGTTTCGATATGCAGCACTCACTGATGATAGGCTATCGAGGCTGCCCTCCATCTCAGCAGGATCTTTGACCGTGAGCTCCGAGCACATAGTGCGTGCGCCGAGCCCTCGCACTCGACGCTCTGTTCGGAGCCTCGACGGTCGCGTCCCGGCCCGGCCCGTTCCTCGCGCTTCTCGCCGACCATGCTGCGTCTGCCTCGCCTCGCCGCGCTGCTCGCCGTCCTCGCGGCCGCCTCGGCCGACCACTGCGAGGACTTCGAGTCGGGCGGGCTGGGCACCTTCTGGGCCGACAACACGGGCGACGAGTCGGCCCTCTGGCGGGCGCGCTCGCACGCTGACCTGCGGCGCGAGGTGCCCGACCTGCCGGCCGAGCCGTCCGGCCGCTGGCTGGCGTACGTGACGGCGCAGCCGGCCGGCGGCGCCTACCTCAGCTCGCGGCTCGTGTCCAGCGCGGCGCTGCACTACCCGGCCGGCAGCACCCTCCGCCTGCGCTACTGGATCCGCTCCCGGGTGGAGGGGGCCAACTCGCTGGACGTGCGCCTGGTGGTGGACTCGACCGAGCAGCCGCACGCCTTCCTCGACCTCAAGGGCCAGGGCACGGCGACCAACGACCAGTGGCGGGTGGCAACGGCCCAGATCCCATTCGTGAACGGCACCGCGCGGGTAAGGCGAGGGGCGGCGGCGGCGGCGGCGCGCTGGCGCCGGCGAGAACCGGCGGGAGCGGAGGAATGCTGCTCGGGCGGGGGGAGGGGGGGGGGGGGGGTCGGTGCTCGTGATGGGGCGTGGTGGCGCTGTCTGCTTTGTGGTCTGTGCAGTTTGGATGAGCCAGTGTCATGCTGTTCTCTGCAGGGAGCGTCCTTTCTGCAACGTACGGTGTTCCGGTAGTAGGTAGAAGCTAGGGCTGCTAGTTCCAAAGCCATTTGACGAGACGTCTGTTGCATCGCAATGTATGCAATGGAACTTACTGTTTGGGGAAGGCAATTGGAAGAACGACGAGAGTTTCTCTTTTTGCCGAAAGGAGTATTTTCACAAGCGTTTTCCATATACGTCCTTGTTTCTTAGCCTTGGACTGGTCGTTATTACACGCGAAACTTCACAAAACCAAGTGCTGGGGAGTTACAAATGCAATTCATCTCCCAATTTGCCCTACAACTTTTGCTATGCATGCACTGAATACCGATGACTGAAAATCTCAGTCGATGCGTGAAAAGAGAATGCATCACTTGAAAGTAAAATGGCGTCCATGGCAATGCATCTTTCTCTGTCTTATTTTTTGCCGCCTTGACTGTGTTCTTGACATCGGTTGCATGGTTAACTGCTGGTTTGGTTGCGGGGCGGGCAGCATTCGGCGAGCAGTGTCAGCAGTTACAGCAGCCGTGCCCCCTTCCCAGCTCTCGATCTTCGGAGGGAGGCGGACAGACCCGCTGGACCAGGTCGCCATCGACGACATCGTCGTACACGGGCCAGCGGGTCTAGATCACCCGTGTGGCGGCGCCAGCAGCACCACCACCAGCCAGCCGACCTCCACGGCACCCTCCACGCCCTTACCCAGCACCACAACGCCGGCACCCAGCACCACGACACCAGCACCCAGCACCACAACACCGGCACCCAGCACCACGACACCGGTGCCCAGCACCACGACACCAGTACCCAGCACGACGACACCGGTACCCAGCACCACGACACCGGTGCCCAGCACCACGACACCAGCACCCAGTACCACGACACCGGCACCCAGCACAACATCAGCACCCAGCACCACAACACCAGCACCCACCACAACACCAGCACCCAGCACCACCTCCCAGGAACCGAGCCGGTCTACCACCCCAGACTCTCACCATCGCTGCTTCTGCTCGCTCGGCACACACCAAGACGGAGGCCTGAACGTGCTGGTCACCCTGCCGCCGATGCTATCGTTCAGCTGCGACGCCGACGGCGAGCGCCTCTGTCGCGAGGAGTGCAAGGTGTCCACCGACGTGCTAATGGCGCAGGGCTCCTGGTCGGCGCTCGTCGACGGCCAGAAGCTGGGCGACGCGGCCTGCGCCAGCCTCGGCCACGACGAGACGCGTGGCCTCACCGCCGGCGTGTTCCACGCCGTGTGCGATCACGCGCCGCACCACTCTGGCGAGTTCCAGCCGAAGCTCTGTTGCGAACGCGGCCGCTACGAACGCTGCCAGTTCTGAGCCAGCGCCGTTGTTGACTTGCTGCAAGTGCGCGTTAGGTGACGCTTCTTAGTGTGTTTAGATGCACTCGCGTTGCATGCGAGCTGTCTTATGAGAATGGTTGTCACGGACCACCTAGCAGGCTTTTGAAAATCTCTTTATGCATCATGTCACACTCGACATTTGAAGAGCAAATGATATCAATCGACTTAAAACCACTCCATGATGGCATCGGTGTACCACGTGGTGAACGCGACTTGTGCAGAGCAACAAATAAACGGAAGCATGAATTCTTCTTTATAACACACTCTCTTCAATGAGGCTGCTTCATGTGAGCGATGTGCGCACATCTGGAGTCATAGGGCCATCTAATGTACCTACATGGGGATACCCAGGAGCCTTGACGCAGTTCGAAACAAATGGGAGGGTTGAACTGGTCCAGGTCAGGGTGACCGCCAGTAGGATTGTTGAGGCTGAAGGCAGCTTGAAGGGACCATCGGAGCAGTCGAGGGCGCGGACCTCAGCCGTGACAACATAAAAATGTCACTTACTGTGCTTCAAGTATGTGCGCTGAGCAGGGGCGGATCCAGGATTTCATCATGGGAGGGGCCGTTCGTGCCTCGTTGTGATGTCCCTGGAACTAGATGAATTCCTCCCCCCTCTCTCAAAGAAGTCCCCGGATTTCGGCTATTCCACATTCTGATTCGCGTTTTTTAAGCGATACAATATCGTCCGTTGCAGTGGTTCCCCGGAATTGTCCACTTTATTTCAAGAGGTCAATTTTTATGTTGAACTTGAACAACTGGGTCCGTTTGAAGAGTACCTGAACTTTGGTGCGTCTTTAAAGTATACGTCATGTGGACCCGAAATGAAAATTTGTGTGCCCCTTCACCCCGATATTTTGGTGCCCCCGCAGTCCAAGGGGGGCATAGCCTCATGGACCCGCTCCGGATCCGCCACTGGCACTGGCGTATACTTGATAGCCGTCTTCTGGTTTTGCTTGGAGTTTAGCTTGTCCTGGGACCGAGGGACCCGGGATCTGCTAATCAAAGTGTTGATATCCAATGGGTTATGAATTGGGGGCGGGGGGATGCGAGAGTCACAATGCCCGACCCAGCCCTGAAAGACCCCTAGATGGTGTTGCATGGAAATAAACAAATTAAAATCCAGGTTTACCCGCCCCCAGCGAACTTTTAATTGGGATTCTTCCACCACGCAGATGATTGACGAAATAGATAATTCCAGTCATTTTGCTTCCCGTGCACTGCCGTGAGCATATCGTTCAACTTCAAGCCTCCCATTTCACCGCCCATGCTAGCATATCGAGGGGTACACCGCACTTCCGGGGTCTTGAGGTCACGTACGTGGGATCCGTACTGCCGACGATGATAGGGGCTGCTGGAGCTTCGATGGTTGTATGCTTGTGAATGCTGGCATCAATGGAGTTGTGGTTATAATCATTATTCATAGTTGCATGGGACCATGTGCCACAAAATCCTTAAGTTAAGGGAAAGTATCCATGCAACACAGCTCGTCAGTTTGATAAATATCAGATGGAATCTTTTCGTTTACCTGTCAAATCAAAGTTGACAAACCTGATATCGCCAATGGTCAAAATCTCGGTTTTATTTATTTGACGTCATCAAAGGTCTCATAGCGACAGGCAAAGTTATCATCTGAACTTTAATTATGTTATCCTTGCCGCATATTTGCGATGTAAACAAACGCCGAGGCAGCGCGGCGTTTAATACGGCTGGCAGGAGGCACTGGGGCTATGGAGGGTGAAGTGGGCCCTGGCTGCATTTGGGCAGTGGGACGGTGAAGTAGGATGGGAAGGTACGTTTTGCATTTTCTACGGCTAATATAGCTTCAAAGATAAGTTATCACAAGCGATCAAAAGCTCATCGGTCAGGCAAACATCGTTCTGTTGGTTTCAGTTCCTCGTCCGTGCTGGTCGTCAGTGCATTGGAGGAAGATATTGTTGGTCTACCTTTGAATGTTATGTTTAATGTTCATCATTATCTGTATTGGGTAGGAATAGGTTGGGGTAGGATGGTAATTTTTTCAGAATTACCCCATTCTGAGCAGCAACTGTCCACTTCTCCCCTCTCTATGCCTGTGTTGTTACTTGCTAAATGCGACCCTGAGCCCTATGCCTGTGGTTAATGTCAGCAGCTGTTTAACTGCATCCAATTTGTCATGTTGTGCTCCACACGCTTGATGTTGAGTGGCATGGTAGGAAGTCTAGGACTTTCCCGTTCCCTGAAATTTAAAGTTCCCATGCCTGTGCTCAAGCCTTGTGTGTCCCATGGCAAACTTAACTGAAATTTTGCCTGTGTTATAGAATTTATTACCAGCTTGAAGTGGTGATAAAATCTATGTTTTACCACACATAATTTATGCAAACAGATAATATCAATCATTCATGTGCATTAAATATAGTGTCAATGCTTTTCCTATACTACAAGGCTACCATGAATCAGTGCCACCAGGGGTGTTGCCAACAGCTTGTAGGGATCAAAGGGGGCTTGAATCCTTGGAGCCTAATTTTGCTGTCTCAGGCAACTGGGACAATCATATGATATCAATACCTTGGCATCCTGCATGTGTTAGGTGTTGAACCTTCTGGATACTTTTAATTGGGATTCCATTACCTGTTTTAAGTTAAGCATTCCTACTATATAAAGAGAGTGCTGGGAAAAATAATTGTGTCACATGAGTTGGACATTAATTCTAAGTGATATATACTGCAGAGAGTAATGCAATCTGGTTGTGCATGACTGTATCAGTGCAATGCACATTGCAGAAAATAACATCATGATGTGTTTTCAGCTGGCAGTTCCCAGATTAATGTTCTGACTAGTACAAGAGCAAGAGCAGACCAAGGATCAAACCAATGTCATCTCCAGATGATGCCAAAGATCCTGCAGAGGGGTCCAGTCCAGCTGCTGCCAGTGGCTCTCCAGCTTCTGGTGATGGCAGGCAGTCACCTGCTGATGCTGCAGGCACAGTGGAAGACCAGGGCACAGACCAAACCAACACTGCTGATGTTCCAGTAGATGAGCAGCCACCCATCTCAGATGAGCATGCAGATGCTGCAGGCATAGCTACAGGCAGCGACTCGGCGGAGGTCGGGTCAGCAGACGTGCCCACACCCGCGGAGACCGCCGCCGATCCGGCAGCGCCGCCGCCAGATGGGGCGACTAGCGATTCCGGTTCCACTGCCGACGTACCTGCCGCCCCGTCAGGGGCCGACGCCGCCGCGGAGGCCGGGTCCCAGCAGGAAACGGCGCCGTCGCAGGCGGGGGTGGCTGCTGTGAAGTCGCAAGCAAGTGCAGCCTCTGTAAAGTCGCAGACAAGTGCGGCCAGTACGAAGTCACAGACAAGTGCAAGTGCTGTGAAGTCGAAAACAAGTACAGATGCTGTGATGTCAAAGACAAGTGCAGGTGGTGTGAAGTCACAGGCAAGTGCAGATGCTGTAAAGCCACAGACAGGTACAGATGCTGTGAAGTCACAGACAGGTGCAGGTGGTGTGAAGTCACAGACAAGTGCAGATGCTGTGAGGTCAAAGACAAGTGCAGCCACTGTGAAGTCACAGACAAGTGCAGATGCTGTAAAGCCACAGACAAGTGCAGATGCTGTGAAGTCACAGACAAGTGCAGGTGGTGTGAAGTCACAGACAAGTGTAGGCAGTGTGAAGTCACAGACAAGTGCAGATGCTGTGAAATCGCAGACAAGTGCAGCAACTGTGAAGTCACAGACAAGTGCAGATGCTGTGAAGCCACAGACAAGTGCAGCTGCCAGGAGGTCACAAACAAGTGCAGTTCCTCTGCCATCAGGGGAAGGGCCAGTTACTATCAAGTCAGAACCTGCTGCAAATGCTGCTACTCAGGTAGAGACAATTGTAGCTGCTGCAAAGTCAGAACCTGTGCAATCTGTTGTGAAGTCAGGGACTGCCAATGTGAACTCAGAGGCAAGTGCGGCTGCCGTGAAGTCAAAGGAAGGTGTAACCACTGCTAAGTCGGGAGAAGTTGCAGTTGCTGTGAAGACAGAGCCTACTGATAGTATAAGTACTGCTAAGTCAGGAGAGGGTGCAGTTGCTGTGAAGTCAGAGCCTTCTGAAAGCATGACCACAGCTACATCAGGAGAAGGTCCAGCTCCCATGAAGCCTGAGCCCCTGACTGTGCAGTCTGGGCAAGGTCCACTTGCTGTGAAGTCCGAGCCGGTAGGAGGCGCAGCAGCCGCGGCTCCGGAGACAGCCGCAGAAGCTGTGAAGTCAGACCCCGGCCCCAGCGTGACATCTGAGGCCGGTGCGGGGGCCGTGGCGCTGGAGCCGCTACAGCCGCAGGATTCTAAGTACGGCCTGCTCAACCCTGGTGAGAGGCGTGTCGTGCTGGCTCCTACTGGGCGTGGCGCATCATCACGTGGAAGGCGGTGCCCGCCCCGGTGGCTCAGTTGGTTAGGGCGGCTGCCTTCCGATGCACCCACCCGTGGCGGGGTGGGTTCGAGTCGCTTTAGGCGCTCACTACTTGTCCCTGACAGGTCTGGTCTGCGGCCGGTGGCTGCGGTCGCGCTAAAGGTCAGTTGATGTCAGAGGGCAAGACGGACCGTGCCGAGCATTGTGGCACGTTAAGGTTTCGCCACTGAATTCTGCCGTTGCCTGGAATGAGGCGATCGGATGGTAGGGGTCAAGGCTCACACAGCAAGCACTGCCTAGCGTCGGCTCCGATCCCGAAAATCCGTCCATTCGAAGGGTTCGGATCAAATTTGTAAAAACGGCCATCTGGGGTGTGGGCTTCGCGCCTTGTCTTGACTCGTGCAACATTTCATATGCAATGTGCCAGATCACGTCTATCAGCAGGCGGCTGGGAGCTGCTGAATGTGCTGGAAATTGTTAGCCTGTGCCGTCAGATACGTCCTTGACAGAACATTTTCTGTACCCTATAGGTTTAACAGCTGTGCAGGTCTGTGCTGATAGACTTGACTCTTGACCTGATCGGGCAGTTCTTGACTCGGCTCTTGACGACCGGGCAGTTCTGGATCTGGTTGTTGACTTGACCAGACAGTCCTGGATTTGACTGTTGACTTGACCAGACAGTTCTGGATCTGACTGTTGACTTAACTGGACAGTTCTCGATTTGACTGTTGACCTGCTCAGGCAGTTCTGGACTTAATTATTGACTTGACCAGACAGGTCTGGATTTGAGTCTGGACTTAGCCGGACAGTTCTGGATTTGACTCCTGACTTGACTGGACGGTTCTTTACTCGACCTGCCCTGCTGCCTTCAGACGGCCTGGCAGCGACGCCGTCCACGTCGCTGGACCGCAGCGCCAGCGAGATACGCCGGCCGCCGCCGCCGCCTCCGAGTCCAGCTGGAGTTCAGGGCCACTGGGCCGCCCGGGCCGCAGGACCAGCTCTACTGGCAGCAGCAGCTGACCGAGCTGGAGCGTGAACAGGACAGGTGCCGGCTCGTCACCAGCGGCCCGCCGGCGTGACGGCCGTCACGCGCGCGTCCTGTCGCTCTGTCGTGTGACGTGTCGGCCGGGTCTGGGGCCGCAGTCGGCGCTCGGGGCTGGACCTGACGAGCTCTGTTGCCGGGCTGTGGCCTGTCGCCTGGCTGGTCATGTTACCCGGTCCCGTTTCCCGTTTGTCACCGGACAGTAGGCTCCTGACCATGCCCCCCCCCCCCCCCTATCCGGATATCGACAGTGAATGCAATTTATAACAGTATTTCCTGTCCAGTGTGTGTGTGTGGGGGGGGGGGGGGGCGTTTGATCAAGTCCAACACATTCTGATGCGGTCTAATCAGTCCTAATTAGTTTGACCTCACTCGGCCTGACCCCTCGACCAAGCTTGGACGTTGGCACCTGGACAGGTCTAGCCTGGTCATCCAACCTGATGAGACCTGATGGCAACTGACTGACTTGACTCATCCACCCAAGCTGACGTGACGTAACCTGACCTGACCTGACCTGACCTGACATGACCTGGCTGTCGAGCCTGACCGACCTGAACTGATCTGACTAGTCGTGACCTGACCTGGCTGTCGAGCCTGACTGAATTAAACTGATCTGACTTGTCCTGACCTGACCTGGCTGTTGAGCCTGACTGACTTGAACTGATCTGACTTGTCCTGACCTGACCTGGCTGTCGAGCCTGACCGACTTGAACTGATCTGACTTGTCCTGACCTGACCTGACCTGACTGGTAGGCCTCCGCCGGAGGAGACCGACCGTCGGCCGGACCTGACCTGACCTGACCTGACCTGACCTGACCTGACCTGACCTGACCTGACCCGACCCGACCCGACCCGACCGGTAGACCTGCTCCGGAGGAAACAACCCTCGGCCGGACCCGAGCTGACCTGACCTGACCCGCCCTGACCCGATCGGCAGGCTTCCGCCGGAGGAGACCGACCGTCGGCCGGAGCAGATGGGGTTCCGCAGCCCGGAGGAGTACGCCCGGCGCGCCAGCGAGGCGCCGCTGCCAGGCGCCGCGCCGCCCGCCTTCCCCGTGGACCGGCGCGGAGTGACGTCATACCCGCTGTACTCGGTGCCAGAGATCTCGCCCGGCGATGGTGGTGAGCGCGGCCGAGGCGGCCGATGCCGCTGTCTCTTGTTGGCTGTGTCCGTGCCTGAGCTCACGCTGTGGAACAAGAGCGATGAGGTGTGGTTCAGGCGCGGGAGATCACGATTGGCGTGGAGATTTGCTGGTCGTTGATGTTGCAAGCAGTTGACATGGATCACATTCGACGACGGCCTCCAGCAGCCCTGATGTAACCGAAAGTCGATTATCAGAACGCATGAACCGCTCTGCAATGTGTTCATTGATGCGAGACCCAGATTGCATTGCGTTTTCTGCTTTGAAATGTGCATGCATGATGGGTCATGGTTTGTCGTGTCTGTTGCTTTGGCTGCCTGACTGGTCATGCGCTGTCCACGGCTGACACTGCTCAGATTAGCCTTTTTCACACCATCCTTCTCTCTGCCGCATCTCGGTAAGCTCAAGTCATCGTTTTGGTTGCGTTGCTTGCGGCGGGCGCCGATATGTGGCTTCGCATCGCTGCCGGCAGATGTCAGTGACAACGGCGTGCTGCTCGCGGAGCTGGTGGATCGGCTGAGTTCCGACAGTGAGACGCCGCGGGGCCGCTCGTACCCGCTGTACCAGCGGCCCGATGGCGACCTCTCCTCCCCCGAGTCCAGGTCGCCCCCGCTTGGTGCGTTGCTGTGGGCCTCGTCCCTTCATCTCAAACATGTGGGATGGGATATGGGACACATGTGGTGTGGCACGGGACATATCTCGGGCCAGTTTCCATGGTCTGGACTCTCCTTTTTATGAGTTCGTGGACTACACGCGGTCAGACATTCTCGCAACCTTGCCAGGACGGTAATATCCACTAAGAGTTAGTTGTACGTAGCTTTTATCTAGGGCATATCCATCACACAACTCACTGTCAGGCAGTTGGAGCTGATTTTTTCGGTTTGGGGATAAAAAGTATGGGTGGGAAACGTACACATGCAAATAGTACGTCCGCATTTGTTCGTCAGCGAATGTACGTGAGGTACATACATGTAAGGCACATTTAAGGCCGCGTGGCCGAAGTATGCCTGTAACTATTGGGTCTGATCTTTGGCCGTCGGCCCACATTTCACCAGCACTTGAAGATGATAAAGGTTAAGTGTCGTAGGCGCATGAACTCCATGAAAGTGATGTGTCATATGACCTTTGGAGCTGATAGGTGCATCCTGCTGAACTTGTATAGAGCTTTAATTTGACCGGTCATCTACTACGCTAGCCCTGTCTACGACAGAGCTCCTGCATCTTCGAAGCAGGTTTTGGGCACAATTCGCCATGCATGAGTTCGTACGGCCACCGGAGTTTTTCGTACGATCCGATCAAGAAACTTGCTGGTGGAGGTCATTGAACCGCCTGTGCCTCCTGGGAGGCCGCTTACTTTGAATTACGTCACAAAGGCTTCACAATCTCCGGATGACCCAGCCTTCGAGCCCATTTTCTCTCAGGCGTTAATCCGTTCTTTCTTGGGCGGGGCGGGGGGAGGGGGTGGGAGCTACGTCAGTACGGCCGATGTGTCTGTGTGCGCGGGGCTGGCTGGGTGAGGCAGATGTCACGTTGGATGACGTTGCCCCGCACACTCTGGGACCCAGCCCATGACGATGTCCAAGGCTAAGTTGTGACTTGGAACTTTGCCAGCATCATGAAGGTGGCACTGGCGCAAGTAACCGATGCATATGGCTCGCCATTTAAGCTCCATAACTAGCTGAAGTATTTATTCCCCGCCAGAGTTGCTCATTTATTCCTTGGAACGGATCTCACAATACAAAAACCCATTAAAAATTTGCTGATGGGTCCAAAGGCTCGACGGGGACTGGTTGCGTGCTCGTTTAGGGTGATTACACCTTAGTACCAGATTACACCTTAGGGTGATTACAGTCTGGGCCTCCCGCATCATAGTAAGTTTTTCCTCAGAACTGCTCGCCATTTTAGCAACTCTTCAGTACGATAGTCGTCGCCTAGAAAGGGATATAGTCATTTTAACTGACTTGCTTGTTATTTGACGCAACTTCGATGTCGCGCGACCACTGCTCTCCGACGTGCTCGAGCTGCGAGGAATTGGAATGGCTCGGCAACACCTAAGCCGCATCACATTTGTTTGGATCCCCAGTCACGTAAGGATGTTGGTAAATAGCAAAGCGGAGACAGCAGCGAAAGCTGCGGCCTATGAGAGGAGGCCGCTGCCAGTGCATACACCCATGCGAGATCTGAAGTCGGTGACAAATGTGTCCACGACACATGGCAGGACATGCTCGACCATCTCCACGCTTTCGGGGAAACCAAGCCCCAACTTGGCACTTGGGAATCTCACCGCAGAAGCCGCTTCTGGGCAGTCGCCCTGTGTGGGCTTCGGTTGGGTCATACGCATGCAGCGCACTCGTCTATTTGGAGCGGCAGGATGTGCCACGGTGTCACAGATACGGGGGCGGGCTATCTGTGGAACACGTCCTTGCCCCATACCGGCGCCTTGAAGCGGACAGGCGACGGTGTTTTCCACCAGTTTTCACCTTCATCGGCCAATCGGTCAAGACCCATGCTGTGAAACCGGAGATATGGTCTCATTTTTAGCACACGATGACTTTGACATTACCGTTTCCCAACCCTCAGTGCAAGCGCACCGGTGATGCCACCTGTTACTAGTCCACAACACACCTGTAGCGCGACATTGCAGATATAGACAACCGTCATCGAGTGGACACAAAATGGCCCGGATGCCGACGTGCCCTAAAACACCAAATCACCACCACCACGAGTACGTACGTGCCAGTTCGTGCGCAAAGCTTTGCGGGCATATGTTCGTATTCTGTAAAAGAGACAGTAAATACTCGTATTGGCAAAAGTACCGTCAGGACAAAACCTCGCATGGAGAAGTTTTGCAATGGAATTTGACCCATTGTTGAAGACCTTGTGAAGCTGTCAGTATGATGCATCAGGCAAGACGAAAAGTGAGACTGTTGCAGCCAGAGATTCACGGCAGTGAGCACATGGCGGCCCAGCGATTCGTACAAGGTGTGCATATGCAGATGTATCTTTCTAGCCCAATTATTAGTATGTGCAGCGTAATAGTAAGTGCAACTGGAATGCGGTACTTTAGACGGCGCGCACAGACACTGGTCCGAACCTTGGAGCGCAGTCTTGGGCCGGGCAAATCAAGGTGCGGGGAGGCGGGGTCACATGGCACTGCTTCGTGCAAGGAGTTCGGATTAACTCAATGACCTACCTGCCCGGGTGGAGGATTTTTCACAGTTTGACGTCTTGTGATCCAGGTCCTTCATATGAATACCTATATTAATCGTCCTGAATCCGTCGTAATCCATGGCCCTGAAATGTCCGCTGCCGGCCGAAAGAGGTTTAATCTAGCCAAGCTATTGGCCTTGTTTTTACCCTCTTTCACCTTCGCCGCTTTATCCCCCATCCCCACGGCGTCTGTTCTCCCCAGGAGTTTGTCGCGGCCTCTAGCCGCGAGGTGGCGCTACGGCTACCCCCCCCCCCCCCTAATAGACAGTCCTACTCGAGCCCCTCTTCCCTCCCCACACAACCCTAGTGTGGACTCCCTGAGCCTCGGCCAGCCAGGCCAGCCTCGGTATCCGAAGCGTTTCCGGGTGTCCGCCGCTTTCCCCAGCTCATAGCTCATATCTGTCCCTCATCCCATAGCTATGGAATTGCAAAGCATGGCCAAAAGAGATCTAACGTAACCGAAGCAACCAAACTGCGCTCGCCCGGTGGTAGTTGTTCAGGGGCCTGAGGCACGATTATCGCACGTCGTTGTTGTCCTGAGTCGCTTCAGACTGCCCGTAGACTCGGGTGATGTCGCGTACGCTCTCGTCCAGCTGCTGACCTCTTGCCCCCCCCCCCCCACACCAAAGGCACCTCGGGGGACAGGTCTGACCCTCTCTCCGTCACGTTTTCAGACGCGTCGGGCGGCGACAGGGCGTCGCCTGACGCCGACGGCCGCTCGCCGTCACCCGACTCGCCCCGCTCAGCCTCGGCCGGCGCCGGCGACCAACGGAGTGACGTCAGCGGTGACGCCGGCCGACCGGTGCTGCCGCCGGACCACCCGCTGATGGCGCGCTTCCAGCGCGCGCTGGCCGGCCTGCTGCGCCGCCAGATCGGTCAGCTGGACCTCGACCTCGTGCAGCTGGTGAGCGGGCGGGCGGGAGTGTCACGGGGCCCGGGGGCCCCAGACTGGCCCTGAGGCCCTGCTGAGGGCGAGTCAGCAGCTCAGACGGAGGGGTCTCGGCACCTCCAGGTGCCTTCCAGGGGTCGGGAGATTCCAAGCGACTCGGGCCGGTTGGCCTGCGGTGAGTTCCATGTGCCAGGGTACGAATATCTGCGCGGTGTGACGCCGCGAAGCTCGTGGCAGCGTCTGCCCTGGCGTGTGACGGTCAGAGACCTGAGGGTCGTTTCAGCGACCTGAGGGCTCTGCGTACCTCGGTATGGAATCACTTACCCAGATGGTTTGGGCTGCGGCTGAATATCAGAGGTCTTTTGCCTGTTGCTAGGGAGGAGGGGGGGGGGGGGGGGGGAGGTAGTGATGTGTGATGTCTGCTCTTCAACGCGTTCTCAGGTTAGTGGCCTCGACTCGCGCAAACTTGATAGGTACGCTTGATGACACAGGACGCTAGGTGGATAATTAAACGATAAGCCTACAGGGATGGTTCAAGCAAGCAGTTGCGAACAATACAGATACCACTGGAGTCGTGGCCGGCCTATCCGTATGTTTGGTCGTCTGGATAGCTTACGACGCTGCAGGCAACAACGCTGCAGTTTAGGACACTCCGTGAATCCGCGGCCCACTTCCCAGACCTGCGTATGATCGGTGCTCTCGACCACGGTCCGAGGCACCGGTGGACACCAGCCCAGGGCGCTTCGCTGTTCGCACAGCTTGTCCTTAGAGTCTTTCTGGAGGCGGTCCCCCTCACCCCTGGCTTCCTCCGACAGCGGAAGGAGCAGCGGGCGTGCACCAAGCACCGCGAGGCGACCGGCGTTCAGCTATACGAGCGGCAGCTGCAGCTGGCGCGGCTGCAGGAACAGCAGCAGCAGCTGCAGGAGCAGCTGCAGGCGGCGGTGGAGGCCCGCGGCGCGACAGAGCGCTCGCTCGTGGAGGTGCGCCGACAGCACAAGGAGCACGCCGACAAGCTGGAGGCGGACAGGCGACGCGGTACGTGGCGGTCGGGGCGACACGTGGCTGGGCACGAGTGACGCGTAGCGAGGCTGCGCCGGAGGAGTCGCGTGCGTGGCTCGTTGTTTTATCGTACGTGGCGCTGCTGGTCTTCTTATGCAGTTCTGGTGTGCATCGCTCGTTTGCCCTTGCCTACGACGGGCACCCTCGCGTACGCGATAGGATCTTCGATCGCACAGCCTCAGCGCATCAGTCGTTGCTGTTGTCGCATAGTCTATACCATACCATGACTCTCAGCTGCAACTGTTCGTCGGCACCCGCGTCCATTATTCGCTGTCGCAATGTGCCTGGTCTACTTCCTCCGCCAGAGACGCACTCCACGCTCATGCTTTAGCGAGATGCGTCTCCACATGCGCGCCGCCCGCAGCTCCGATTGACCCCGAGTGATATCCGTCTGACCCCGCGTGACCTCCATCTGACCCCGCGTGACCTCCGTCTGACCCCGCGTGACCTCCGTCTCACCGCACGTGACCTCCGTCTGACCCCGCGTGACCTCTGTCTCACCATACGTGACCTCCGTCTGACCCCGCGTGACCTCCGTCTGACCACACGTGACCTCCGTCTCACCCCGCGTGACCTCCGTCTGACCCCGCGTGACCTCCTTTTGACCACGCGTGACCTCCGCCTGACCCCATCTGACCTCCATCTGGCCCAGCGTGACCTCTGTCTGACACTGGGTGACCTCCGTCTGCAGAGAAGGAGCTGCGCGTGGACGTCGGCACGCTGGAGAAGCACGAGTACCACCTGAAGTCGCTGGAGAACGACGCCGACACCGAGCTGCAGCTGCGCCAGAAGATGGCCGAGCGGGCCGACGCCGAGATGGCCAAGCTGGAACAGGACAAACAGAGACAGGTGGGCCGACGCAGCAGGCGGCGGCAGGCCACGCGACAACGGGGCGGCGCAGAGCCGTCCTGTCCGAGCGGGGTCCGTGGCTGTCCGGTCTGAGCGGGGTCCGTGGCTGTCCGGTCTGAGCGGGGTCCGTGGCTGTCCTGTCTGAGTAGGGTCCGTAGCTGTCCGATCTGAGCGGGATCCGTGGCTGTCCGGTCTGAGCGGGATCCGTGGCTGTCCGGTCTGAGCGGGATCCGTGGCTGTCCGGTCTGAGCGGGGTCTGTGGCTGTCCGGTCTGAGCGGGATCCGCGCCGCCGGCAGGACTTCCTGATCGCCCGGCTCTCGTCAGACGCCGACCGTCTGCGCACGGCCATCCGGCTGAACCAGGTGCAGTCGCGCGCGCAGACGGAGGAGTGCACCCTGGCCAGACAGGTGCTGGCCGAGGCCCAGCTGGAGCTGGAGACGCTCGGTAGGTGGCGCTGCGGCGCCGCTCGACACGCGGGGCCGAGGAGGGCTCGGGCGCCGGGCGGCGCCCTCCAGCACCGTGGATGGCGTTTGCGTCAGCTTGCGCGTTTTGACGGTGTTTGAGTTGTGACGACCTGCCTCGTTCTTGTACATCGTTTGACTATTGGTGTCTGGCACTGGTATGCGTTTTGCAGCTGAGTGATTGATAAAAGGGCAATGCGCATTGGCAGGCATAAAGTGTATTGCGATACGCATACGACCACACGTTTTTAATATGAGAGACATGTGTCTTGCAGAGTGGCTGATTCGTTCATTGCTGCGTGACACACCTTCGTGCCCTGTGGGGATGTTCGAAACTTAGAAGCGCACGTCGCAAAAACATTTAACAGGCAGCCAAACGCCTTCAGACTCTCGTGTCAGTAAACGTTATTTCGTTGGTAACACGCCGGTTGATTCACAGCCGTTCGCGTGTTGTTGGGGGGTGGTTAGCTGAAAGGCCTCTCTACTACTCCCGTCCTTTATCGCGTGCCGACTTATTCGGCTCGTTCAGAGCGGAACACAGCGGGTTCCAGAGCTAGTCGCTGCAGAGGGGCGCCCGTGCTTGTGCTGTTCCGTCCGCCCTGACTCCGGCGGGGAGTCTGGCGAGCGTCCGCACGCCACCCGGTCACCGAGACGGTGCGCACGGCTCGGTTGCAGTGATGGAGAAGCGCCACCTGACCCAGACGTGGACCAACAGCCTGAACACCATGCAGAAGCGCGACGAGGAGTACGCCCGGCTGCACGGCAACATCACGTCAGTCGGGGCCGGCCGGCGGCCGCTGCCGCTCGCGCCAGCACGCCAGGGCGCCGCCGCGGGCACGCGCCGGCTCAGGGCGGCCTGTGGCAGGGCGGCGTCAGGGCGGCGCCTGCCGCTGGCGCACGGCTGTTGGCCGTGTCGTCACGGTGGCGTAGCGGCAGTGATCATCAGTATCCACCGACGCACCCCATCCCTTCAGTGCCCGCACCTTTACAGACGCACGCCAGTTTGAAACAACGGTCGTTTTAGTATGCTTGTTCTCAGGGCTAGGACTGGGTGGTAGTTGGGCTAAATGGCAATGTGTGTCCGATGGTTGCTGTCTGTGCGGAGCTGGCTGGCGGCGACGCTGGTAGACACGTACAATGAGCGTTGCTTTTACCCCATGCTGCTCCTGTTCGTGATAACATACCCAGCAGTGCGCCATGACAATTCTGGTTTTGGACCGGTGTGGGTTGCGCTGCGAGCTGCATACTTTACCCACGACCCATCTTCGTGACGGTGCCCTTTATGGGACGCATCTGCTGTCGCGTGGCCTTTGATTGTGTGGTTATATCCCAACCGGTTTGTGTTGACAATAACCACAGCGACGTGTGTGCTCCAAGACCTAGTTTTGTGGCCCGTAGGCTTTGACTTTGTGGGGTGTGACCTAGCACTTGCACCCTACCGCTGACAGTTCCGCACCCGCGAGCCTGTATTCCGACCTGCTCTGCTCCCGACCTCCGAGCCGCATGGCTGTGTCCCGGTCGGTCCCAGTTTTCGGTGGCCTGTTACTGCGTGGCTGTGCGGCGACCCCCCCCCCCCCCCCTCTCGCCGCTGACCCGTACCTCTCGGTCCTCCGACGCAGTAAAATGTCTGCTGACCTACACACGGTGGACGGAGAGATAGCCGGCTACATCCGCTCCATAGCGCAGGCCCAGGACAATAACGAACAGCTGATGATGCAGCTGCGCCGGCTGCAGGCTGAGCGGGACAAGTTCCAGAGGTGAGGAGCGGGTCTGGAGGGGCGGCCACGCGGGGGCGGGAGGGAGTACCGACACTGAGGTCCGCAGGGGGTGACGGAGGGGGGGGGGGGCGAGAGGGAGCGCCGAGACAAAGGTCTGCAGGGGGTGGCCACACGGGGCGAGAGGGAGCACTGACGCTGAGGTCCGCAGGGGGTGACGGAAGGGGGGCGAGAGGGAGCGCCGAGACAAAGGTCTGCGGGGGTGGCTGAAGGGGGGCGAGAGGGAGCGCCGAGACAAAGGTCTGCAGGGGGTGGCTGAAGGGGGGCGAGAGGGAGCGCCGAGACAAAGGTCTGCAGGGGGTTGGCACACGGGGTGAGAGGGAGCACCGAGACAGGGAACGGATGGCTGGCAGGAGGTGCGGAACGAACGTATGGCGGAGGCGCGTGGGCGGCGGGAACGCACAGGGTACCAACAAAGAGTGTAAAAGCAGTGACTTGCGAAGGGAGCTGCGGGTCAAGCTGTAGCCGCGTGGGGCGTCGGAGCAGCAGCAGTGACAAGTTGTGGAGAGTAAGGGAAAGCGGCGAGGTGTGGTTGAAAGCTGCCGGCAGGGCGGCATCAGTACTAACTCTGGACATGGTGGACGGGCCATGGGCACTCCTGTGTGTGATGAATGGAATGGACGTCTCCGGATGCCGGAGTATTTCAGAGGGGTTCCTTACATGTATTTCCGGGCAAACTCTAGGCAGTGCACGGGGCTAGCGAAACCCAGAAGAGCTGCGAAGACAGGCAGACAGACGCTGACATGTAAAGATGTGTTCTTTAGTTTCACAGCGTTAAGCGGAGCATGGGGACAAGCAGTAACGGAACTGTTGAGACCCCGACCTGAGAACCACAGAGCGCGCCCAGTCATCAGCTGACTGCCTGTCGGCCGCAACACCGCTCAGCCTGCTCAGCTGACACCACCGCCTGGGCTGGCCGGCAGGGCGTACGACCAGATGATGGAGCTGTTCGGCATGCAGAAGGAGGAGTACGCGCGCTTCCACCACGCGCTGACCGACACGGAAGACAAGCTGTTCCAGTGCCAGACGGTCAGTCTGCCCGCCCCGCCTAGGGGAAGGGGGGGGGGGGGGGGCGCTGAACGGCTCTTGCTCTCCGTTCTGTCTATGCCGGCGCGTGGGGAGGGGGAGGGGGAGGGGCGTGTAGGTCGTTAGTTGCCCATAAAGTATGCTGCGTCGCCGTCGATGGCCGCTTTTTCTGGACTATTCTGGTTCAGACTCTGGCTCTGGTCTGATGCATCACGAACTGAGCGCTGTCCTGCGGCTGCAGCACCCGACTCGCTCCGACCACAGCCTTTTAAGCCCACACACCGGCTGGAATGGTACCGCACCCTGACGCCAGTTACGATCTCGCATCCCTGACCGCAATCCCCGACCGGGGACGAGCTTGTGCCAGCTGTACATGTGAATCCGGGCCGGTCGCCGTTGGCGCACTGTGCTTGCTGTCCGGCCTTGTTGAGTATGCAGCGGTCCGGCTCCTGACCTGTTGTGGGACCTGCTCGGACACCCAGCCGCCTGCAGCACGCCGGTAGACGGCGCGGGCGCGGGGCGGGGAAGTCCGGAGCGCAGGCCACCCCGAGCCGGTGACCCGCGGCCCGGCCGAGCGGGGCAACCCCCCCCCCCCGTCGCGGCGCTGTCCGCCTGGTGGGTCCCAGCTACGACGGTGGGAACACCTGGGACAGCCTAAGCTGGGAATCCCGCCTCTTTTGAACGTGCGCGTCTTTTACGTTCTCAGCTGACCCAATCCACCGGGTATATTTGCCTCGTATTTGAGGGGGGGGGGGGGGGATTGCGTGAAAACACGTTTTTTCATCGGGCCATGTGTAACGGTCCGGGTCCCTCAGTCCCAGAAGTGAGGGTCTCCGCAGTGTGCGCCAGGATGCGGGGATCTCAGCTCTACTTAAGTGTGGCGGCGTCGCGTTCAAGCCGGCGCCGCGCCGCTCGCTCGACTGGAGCGTCGCGCGCGCGAGAGCGGCTTCACGAGAGCGATCTGACGTTCTCACGTGCAAGCCGGCCGATGGCGTGTCCGGCCGATGGCGTGTCCAGCCGATGGCCGATGGTCGGAGAGGCAGAGCTCACAGACAGCTGCCGCTGACGAGATCGTCGCACCGGCGCTTGGCGATGAACTAAGTTGTGGCGCTAGGCATCGCCTAACCTTAGCTGACCCAGCCTTTTGACTGCGTACTCCCTGATCGGGCTTCCGCTGGGTGTGACCGTAGGTGACTGACCTCCATTGATGTGACCTACCGCAGCAAGCATCACCTTAACCCGCCTTCCCTGCCGTGACCGCCATGACCTCCCGAGGACGTGTCATCCCATGACCTCCGCCGACCTGACCTGGTCTGACCTCGCCGCACGTGACCCGACAGGAGCAAAAAGCATGTGGAGCGGCGCATGAAGCACCTGCAGGCGGACATGGAGAAGGTGACGGACCAGAAGCGCCAGCTGGAGGACACCATCCTGGAGACGATGCAAGAGCGCCTGACGGCCGACAGCGCCGGCAAGTACACCGCCAAGATCGTGCAGCAAGACTCGGGACGTCACCAAGTACATGGTCAGTGGCCGCGCCGCGCCTGGCACGGGTGCAGGGCCGCGTGCGGCAGGGCGTCTGGTGCCGCACGGCCGTCACCGACAGGACACGACGGGGCGCCTCCGGACGGCCGGGGGAGGGGGCATTACGGTGTAACTCGGCCCAAAGACAAATGGATGTCAGAATTGTTATGGAAGGCCGCGCTTTTGTTTCTGCTGGACAGACGCGTTTCGTCACAAAAAGTAACGGTGATGAGGATGGGGATGCGACTCATGGCAATGTAACACATCTGCGTGGGGGGGGGAGGGGGGAAGGGAGAGGGGGATGAACTTTCAAGACGTAAGGGTGCAGCTGCACAAGTTTTCAGGCATTTGCGTCATTCTTATTAGGAGATCGAGTTTGCGCTCGGATGTGTAGTCCTCTTGTGGTACTTACTTACCTTCTTGCTTCAGTTTTGTTTTCCTCTGGCTGACACAGGGCTCATGGGCCAGTAAGGAAGTCGAGGACGCCATAGATCTCGCTGACACACAATCTTTGTCGATTGGGTTCAACGTGTTGCACACCGTGGTCGTCCAGGCTTACCAGCCAGTAGCTCTGACAAGCATATTTTGTCATTTGTCATTTACACATTGTAAATATAATGTTTCGTTGTTCGTACTGGCCATCATTTTCACCCCTTCCTGAGGTAGTTTTTCTTCTTCTCCAATGTCATGTCAGTCGTTTGTGTCGCAGTTGGTGTCAGTAGCTATGTCGAACAGCTCGCTGGGGGGGGGGGGGGGGGGGGCAGGGGGTCCGCGACTGTTTTCCCTAAACTGCTGGGATTGTTACCAGCTGAGTTTCCCTTCAGCATGTGATGCACTTCTGTCCTCGAAAGCAGCACCGCTGTCGGTCGTCGCGCTAACTTCTACTTCCCGAATGGACCGACAGGAGGGACAGGTGGCGGACGTGGAGAACAACATCGCTCGGCTACTGCTGTCCGTCAGCAACGCTTCCACCTCGGTCACCTACATGAACACGGTGGTGGAGCAGCTGCTGGCTGAGGTCCGGCTGGCTGAGGATAACCTCAACAGGTGGGATAATAAATGGGGACAGCCTGAGCAGGTGGGAGGAGAGACAGGGACAACTTCAGCAGTTGGGAGGAGAAACGGGGACAACCTGAACAGGTGGGAGGAGAGACGGGGATAATCTGAACAGGTGGGAGGAGAGACGGGGACAACTTCAACAGTTGGGAGGAGAAACGGGGATAATTTGAGCTGGTGGGAGGAGAGACGGGGACAACCTCAGCAGTTGGGAGGAGAGATGGGGACAACCTCAACAGTTGGGAGAAGAGTTGGGGGACAACCTCAGCAGCTAGGAGGAGGGACTGGGGCAATCTCAGCAGGTTGGGAAGGGACTGCAAACAATCTCGCCAGTTAGGAAGAAGGCTAGTGATATCCTCAGCAGGTGGGAGAATGGATGGAGACCTTCAAAAAGTTGTGGTTGGCTGAAAGCCTCAACAGTGGGAGGGGGTATGGCTGAAGTTATTCTCCCATGTTTGCGCTTTGGTAGTTTAGTAGATGAATGAAAGAGCTCAGGAAAACTGGGAAAACCTGCAGCAAAGGAACGAAGAACACCCTCAGTGGTCAAATTACTACAGACTCTCCCCCAAAAAACGACCGTTACGGAATCGTTTCTTTAAACCACCGCCTTTCTTAGATACCGTCAAGTGCCACCGCTGCCATCGACCAAACCTATTCCGACAGATACCAGGTGGAGATCCACCGCAGTAACGCCGTAATCCAGCACAAGCAGAACAAAGTACAGGAGCTCAACACCAAGCTGGGCATCCTTATCGCTGCCGCTGGGGTGAGTGTGGTCGATGGGCAGACAGTACCACCTCGATCTCCCTCGGCGCTGGTGTTTTTACCACCACGTTGGTTTCTGTGACGTCTTGAATAAAGGTATTGCACGCAGCCGACGGTAGCTTAGGGTTCCCACTCGGTGTACATCGGCTCAGCCTGGATATCAGTGTGGATGTGTCGTCGCCATCACTTGATAGCCCCTGCACCTTGACGTCATGCGTTTTCCCGGTGCGAGACACTCTGGAATGGTCTCTGCGAAGGCGTCGCTTTCTCTCCGCGTGTCGCCACCGTAGCCAGCCCTGTCTCGGTGTCGGTGGAGGTGCTGGTGCGTGTCCCCACTGTCGCCAGCCTGGGCCCGGTGCGGTGGAGGTGCTGGCGCGTGTCGCCGCTGTCGCCAGCCTGGGCCCGGTGCGGTGGAGGTGCTGGCGCGTGTCGCCGCTGTAGCCAGTCCGGGCCCGGTGCGGTGGAGGTGCTGGCGCGTGTCCCCGCTGTCTCCAGCCTGGGCCCGGTGCGGTGGAGGTGCTGGCGCGTGTCGCCGCTGTAGCTAGTCCGGGCCCGTTACGGTGGAGGTGCTGGCGCGTGTCACCACTGCAGCCAGCCGGGGCCCGGTGCGGTGGAGGTGCTGGCGCGTGTCGCCACTGTCGCCAGCCTGGCCCGGTGCCGGTGAAGGTGCTGGCGCGTGTCACCGCTGTAGCCAGCCTGGGCCCGGTGCGGTGGAGGTGCTGGCGCGTGTCACCACTGCAGCCAGCCGGGGGCCGGTGCGGTGGAGGTGCTGGCGCGTGTCCCCGCTGTCGCCAGCCTGGGCCCGGTGCGGTGGAGGTTCTAGGCCTGCCCTATCTCGGCGCCGGCACCGGCCGGGAGCCGCCGCCGCGTCCGACGCTCACCGCCCGTCACCGTCGCCAGGGCCAGGAGCTGGGGCCGCTGGAGATCATGATCGCCTCGCTGCACAAGGCCATCGACCAGCTGCAGCAGCAGGTGGACACCGTGCAGCAGTACTACATCCGGCTGCAGAACGACCTCGTCTTCTCCACGCAGGAGCGTGACAAGCTCGAGCTCGTCGTCGAGAGGCGCAAGAAGGGTGGGTGACGTGCCATCCGCTCCACGCCTCGCATCTGTGCGTGTGTGTGTGCGTGCGTGCGTGCGTGCGTTTTTAGGAGTTTGATGGTTATCGTAATGTGACGGGACATGTTCTTATCGTTGTTGTCCTGACTGACGCTAATGACTTGCGATGGCTTCGATCGGACTCGTCCATATCAGACGCTGGTTGTTGACTTCGGCTTATGATACCGCAGAGCCGGTGATACGTAACCACAACATCGCAGATATGCCGGCCTATCTGTTTATTTAAAAGGGTTTATAACTGCACGCGCGTTTTATCGTAGGGCTCCAAAGCCCTCATCGATATGACAGCATTTGCCGATAGCGGCGTTTATAGACAAGCGGGTACCGCGGCGGGTCAGATCAGGCAGGCAACACTTAACCTAGTATCAGTGTTTGTCATCAGCTTTTGCATTATGTCATATGCCTGATAAACAACGGCCACCGCGTGCATGCTGCACGCGGCGCCTGCGGAGGTCCACGACTGGCGGCGTGCGAGATTCGCCGATCGTCACGCATTGTGCCATCGAGCTGCCCGGCTGTCCGTGGCACCGTGCGTGCCATGTGGACCTGTCTGACGTCACACACCTGCTGAAATGTCGCCGTGCCACGTGTCAGGCCTGCTGACACACTCCACCGCGCCGCGGCACGGCCGGGGTGGTGTCCGACCGCGCCGTTATGTAACATCGCCACCGAGCCCGGCCTAGCGTGACATCCCAGAGCAGCAGCCCGTCCGTCGTCGTCACCACCAGCCGCTGCCGACGCGCTCCACCCTGTCGCGCCACACCGGCCACATCCTCGCTCCGCCGGCTCCGACAGAGCTGCTGATCATGGACCAGCGCCGGCTGCGCGTCGAGCGCTCGATCGAGACGGAGGCGGCCGCGCTGCACGCCGTCCAGCTCAGCGTGAAGCAGCTGCGCCAGGCCGTCTGCCATCTGAACGTGCGCCTGGCGGGCGAGACGCAGCTGCACGACAAGCTGGCCGCCAACACGTCCGTCATGGAGTACGAGCTCTGCCACGCGCTGCGGGTACGGTGCGGGGCTGGGGACGGGGTGCAGGGCTGGGGATGGGGTGCTCTGCCACGCGCTCCGGGTACGGTGCGGGGCTGGGGATGGGGTGCTCTGCCTGGCGCTGCGGGCATGGTATAGGGCTGGGGACGGGGCGTTGCCTGGCGCTGCGGGTACGGTGCAGGGCTGGGGACGGGGTGCTCTGCCACGCGCTCCGGGTACGGCGCAGGGCTGGGGACGGGGTGCTGCGCTGCGGGTACGGTGCAGGGCTGGGGACGGGGTGCTCTACTGCGTGCTGCGGGCACGGTGTAGGGCTGGGGACGGGGTGCTGCGCTGCGGGTACGGTTTAGGGCTGGGGACAGGGTGCTCTGCCAAGCGCTGCGGGTACGGTGCAGGGCTGGGGACGGGGTGCTCTACTGCGTGCTGCGGGTACGGCGCAGGGCTGGGGACGAGGTGCTGCGCTGCGGGTATGGTGCAGGGCTGGGGACGGGGTGTTCTACTACGCGCTGCGGGTATGGTGCAGGGCTGGGGACGGGGTGCTGCGCTGCGGGTACGGTGCAGGGCTGGGGACGGGGTGCTCTACTGCGTGCTGAGGGTACGGTGCAGGGCTGGGGACGGGGTGTTCTACTACGCGCTGCGGGCACGGTGTAGGGCTGGGGACGGGGTGCTCTTGGCACGTGGCAGGGAGGGCGCGGATGTAAGGTGTCATCACGTGCACTCCTCGAGAACGATGGCTCAGCCTGGAGTCCAGGCTGTGAGGGGCTGAGGCTGCTACTGTCGTAGGCGCATGGCGCACCGTCACAGCCTCAGAGAGCACTCCCACAGGCGCAGACGTCCACACAGCTGAGTTCACTCCGGCCCCTGCCGCGGTCGGTCAGCCTCGCGCCCCGTCCGGCTCCCGGCAGGGGCGGCCTGCAGACGGTGTGTGCACGGAGAGTCGGGTGACCTGATCTGACTTGACCCTCCGCCGTCCGCCCCGGCAGGAGACCGAGATGCAGTGTGTGCAGGTGCGCGGCGAGATCGCGCAGAAGGAGAGCACCCGCGCCGGCATGCTGGAGCGTATGGCCGAGGCCGGCGGCCGGGAGCTGCTCTGGGAGCAGAAGATCACGCTGCTGAAGCAGGCCAAGCAGAAGCTGAGGGGCGAGACAGGCTGCGCCGCAGAAGTGCGCGGCATGCGGCTCGAGATTCATCGCATGCAGGTACGGCGCCGGTCCGGTACACAGCGGTACTCAAGCTACACAGCGGTACTCAAGGTGCACAGCGGTATTCAAGGCACATAGGGTACTCCAGGTACACAGCGGTACTCAAGGCACACAGCGGTACTCAAGGTACACGGCGGTATCCAAGGCACATAGGGTACTCCAGGTACAGAGCGGTGCTCCACATACAGAGCGGTACTCCAGGTACATAGCGGTATCCGAAGCACGGACGCCACGCGCAGGTCCGGTCTGGCACGGGTGGCACGCGAGCTACAAACGCGGCATGGAGGTGCGTGTCGGATCGGTACAGAGCGGTACTCGAGGTACAAACGCGGCATGCGGGTACGTGTGCCGTTTGGCACTGAGCGGCACTTGAGGTACGGGATGAGTGTACATGTCGGTACCGGCACGGACCGGTAATCGTGGTACGGGCGCCACCTGCGGGTGTAAGCGAGGTCGCGTAGGGCGGTACCTGGGGTACGCACAACGCGTACCCGTACACAACGCGCGTGCGTGTGGAGCGATGGTCACGTGACGTGCAGAGCTCACTGCGGGGTAATCATGGTGAGATGCCGGTCCTGCCCATTCGGTGGCGGCGTTGTAGGGTCGACCCCACTAGGTTAACGCATGTGAGCCGTGTTATCTCAAGGGACTGGCGAGCTGGGTACTTAGGGGACTGAAAGTCGCTGAGACGGAGAACGGGTGAAATTGTGCGATGAACTTTGTGAAGTGCCGACAGTGAACATCAAGAAAGGGCGTGGACATTGTGGGCCCGAAAATGGTTCAGTGCAGAGCTGATGCTTACGATAGGGTTTTAAGGATTCGCTGACGACGTAAGAGCGAGCCCAGTTAGCTATCAATATCATATTCGTTCCGCCTTAGGAACGCAGCATTTTGATGACATGATACCCTGATCTGGAACGTTTTAATGGATGTTTAATCTTTTGTTTATCTTATCTTTGATATGTTCCACAACAATGATCTGAACGTCGTCAAACTCGCTGAAGGATGCAAAAGCGACATTCCGCGACAGTCGTGCCGGCCGAGACCCGCCAGATCCGCTCATGACCCGGCCGCGGTCGTCCTGCCGGCGGCGGGCCGCTGATGGTTCGGCCGTCCGCCTCCAGGTGCGCTACAGTCAGCTGCTGCGCGAGCAGGAGCGGCTGATGACCGAGATGGAGCGGGCCGTGGACCGGCGCGGCGCCATCGCGCTGCGCGCCGAGCACGCCGACCGGCGCGGCCGCCAGCGCGCCGCCAGCTTCTTCCAGCGCCAGAAGCGGCTCGAGGACCTCAAGCGCAAGTTTAAAGCGGCCAGACGGGTGAGCCGAGCCGGGCCGAGCCGGGCCGAGCCAGGCCGGGCCGAGCCAGGCCGGACCGAGCCGAGCCAGCCGGCCGAGCCAGCCGGGCCGAGCCGGGCCGAGCCGAGCCAGGCCGGGCCAAGCCGGGAAACTACCGCATGGCGTGCTGTTCTTCACACACGACACACAACTTGTGTGTCTGTGTAATCAATCGATTTAAGAAAGAGTCCTCCATTTCCAGTGTCACAATGATAAGATAACGCTGATCCACGTGTTGTTTTTGCCTTGTCGGGGGCGGTACTCCGTCCCAGGTCCCCCAGGGGATGGCCGATTTAACGAACGCGGCTGTGGCACACGACGGGAAACAATCTAGCCGTGTTGGCCCAGTGTGGATTTGGTTGGCACGGTAATCAGCAGCTGATGGTAGTGGCAGTACAGGGGTCAATGCAGGATGCCTGCATGACACCGGGCCGCGGCCCGGCCTCGGGCAGAGTAGAAGCCAGTGGTGCTGACAGATGAAGAATCTGTGCTAGTTCGTGTTTTTTGGACCCATTATACCAGACCATGCCAAAAGCTTGCGGAACGCTGCGTAGATTGGCGTTGCGCACAGCACCATGACAACGGTCATTCATGCGGCGCTTCGAGATCATTATGCGTGTAGGGCATGAGGGGACAACTGACCATTTCAGTTTTGCTTCGAATCGATAGAACAAGCTGGTGAATACGAATACAACGACAGGGACGTGATCTCCCATCATTGCCTTCACTCTGAATGATATTTGTGCTGGCCGGAAAAGTTCTGTGACCGGGTCTCGAACCTACGATCCTCACGTCCGCAGGACGCGGCCCACCTGCAGTCGGAGGTGACGCGGGCTGAGCGGCAGCTGGAGGCGCTGCAGTCGGAGGCGCTGCCCGGCCGCCGCGAAGCCGTCCGCCAGCTGCAGGAGCTGCTGGGCCAGCTGCAGCGTGAGCTGCAGCACTGCGCCCTGCTGCGCTGTCAGGTGAGGCGCCGGCCGCCGCGGCCTGGGCGGTACCGAGGCACCCCCGCCTCAGGCTCCAGCGGCCGGGGAGGTACTGAGGCACCCCCGCCTCAGGCCCCAGCGGCCGGGGCGGTACTGAGGCACCCCCGCCTCAGGCCCCAGCGGCCGGGGCGGTACTGAGGCACCCCCGCCTCAGGCCCCAGCGGCCGGGGCGGTGCCGAAGCACCCCCGCCTCAGGCCCCAGCGGCCGGGATTGTATCAAGGCACCCCCGCCTCAGGCCCCAGCGGCCGGGGCGGTGCCGAGGCACCCCCGACTCAGCTCCAGCGGCCGGGCGGATCCCAGTTTGAGCCACTCAGCTTGGGTTTATGCCCAAAAGGCATAGGTTTTGTTACGTGCGCACTCGCGTTCTGCAGACGTCGTTGGGTAATGTGGAATATTTTTGAATGTTACTGTATTCGCGTGGGCTGTTGGAAATCGGCACTTCTCTCCCGCCGGGCGACAAACCGCCGTGGCGCGCCCCGACCGCACGCCCAAACGTGGCACACAGGCTCAGACACAGGCTCAGACACAGGCTCAGACACAGGCTCAGGCACAGGCTCAGACACAGGCTCAGAGACAGGCTCAGACACGGGCTTACGTTCCAGGTAACGACAATCGCTCCCCACGTGTACTGCATGCGAGGCACTAACGTCAGAGTCACGATAACCAGCTGTTGAGCCAAGCGCGCGTCGTGTGACCCCTGACCTGCTGACCGGTGCTGGCGGCCGCAGAACCTGGGCCGTATAGTGCTGAAGCAGCAGAGCTCCAAGTTCTACCAGAGCGTGATGGAGGGCCGCTACAGCCCGATCATCCGCTCCAAGACGCGTCTGCTGGAGGAGGTGCGGTGCTGGGGCTTGCGGTGGTCATAAACCGCCGTGGCGTGCAGAGGCTCGGACACAGGCTCGCGTTCCAGGTGACGAACGCGAGCCTGCGTCGCGCTTGCCACCAAACGCGCCGCCGCCAAATGGGCGAAGCCGGTATCTGACCGTAATTATCCCGTATCTAGCTCTGCACGCCACATGACCCGTCGGTCCGCCACAGTGCTGATGCTGAAGATGGTGATGGTGATGGTGATGGTGACGGTGACGGTGACGGTGATGTAGCTGGAGGGATGGTGATTGTAGTGTGATGGTCGAATGCTTCGTAAACTCTCGGTTCAGTATGCTTCGCATCACTACGCTGTGAATAATGCATGAGGGATGTCGTGTGTGTGTACCTCGATTGGCAGAGTTTTCGGTTTACCGTCAATGTTTCTGGACACCCTTTGTTATGCCTGTTGAACGAAGCACAGCATAGTGTTCGTCGAGAACGTCGACGCCACACCGCGACGCATGCCCGTCAACAAAACGCGTATTTTGGTCTCGTTCAGTCCATTCTGTGTGTTTTCATTCCGCGGCGGCACATTTCCGCCGACAGCGAGTGTCTGTGCCGTCCCTGACCGCTGCCAGTCCACCACCAGGCCGTCCCTGACCACCGCCGGTCCACCATCAGGCCGTCCCTGACCACCGCCGGTTCATCATCAGGCCGTCCCTGACCACCGCCGGTTCATCATCAGGCCGTCCCTGACCGCCATCGGTCCGCCATCAGGTGGATGGCGTGGACGAGAAACACAAGAGCGTGCGCATGCTGGTGCGCCAGCTGCTGCGGGACCGGCCCGAGCTGGATGCGCGCCTCGGCTTCGTCAAGGAGCTGCTGAAGCTGTAGCTGGCCCTGCTGCCCTCGGCCGTTTCGCCTCCGCGGCGGATGGCGCGCGGCTCTGGTCAGAGCGCTGGCCACGTGACGACGGGCCTGGGCCGCCGTCCGGTTCGCCGGCGCGACCCGGACCGGACCGGACCGGACCAGACGGCTGGACGGACCCGGCGCAATGGGAGGCTTTACTGATCTCATCGCTAAGAGGCCGTCCGCTAGGGAACGCAGGGTCATTGCGGGAGGCATAGGGAGCGAGGTGGGGGACGGCCGCGAAGGAGTAAATCGGTTGCGTGTGATATCGTGGACTGCGAGTCGAGGCTCTTAACGAGAGCTCGAACGATGGTGGGCTCGAAGCATGAGATTGTCAGGAAATTGTGCAGTTTTGCAATCCTGAGCTGTGCTTACTCCATTCTAAGGATTGAAGAATGCTGACGTCGGTGCTCTAGTTTTGTTTTCGAGCGAGTCACTTACCCGTCTAGTCACGTTTGGTTCAAGTCGATGGTAGTCATGATTGGTCATTGTAGCAAACGATCTCGACAGCCCTCTGCGCTTGTTAGCATTCCAGGCAGGATTTGTTTGGGAAATACATATTGGCCGTTGGACCAGTTGGCTTTATTTCGGTTATCTCCAAACTGACCGATATCAGTACAGTCGCGTCTATCTTAATTGTAAGAAGCACATACGCGGTAACAACACTATCACCCAGCATCCCCTCGACTGACATCAAGCTGCATCGAACCTCGGGATTGGTGGAAAGCCCACCTCGGGGCCATCTTATTGGTGGAAGACCGGCATCCATTCCCACCCGGCTTCGCGATTGGTTGAAACCCGCCGTCCGCGCCTCCGGGTCGGCGAACGTCGGTCTTCGCGCCGCCGGACTGGCGGACGGTCCTGTTCGGCGCCTCCGACCCGGTGGCGGTAGCGTCCCACAGTCGCCAGATCAGAGCAGCACGGACCACAAGTGGCGGCGCCTGGCCGGGGCCGCCCGGCTCCGCCCGTCCAAGGGCCACACCGCCGCCCGAGTCCGCCGCGGTGCGTCGGCCCGCGCGCCCGGCAGCGCCTCGCGCTCGCGCGTCGTTCGTCGGTGCGGCGCCGGGCTGCCGGCGGCCGGGCCCGGCCGGGCCCGCGGCGGCGCCGGCTCCCGGGGGCCCGCTGCCGGCCCGGCCGCGCGCGCCCCGCTCCTCCCCGCCTCCTCCAGCGGCCGGCTTCGCCCCGGACTACACGGTCAGGGAGACGAAGCTGTTGTATTGTGTGATGTTTCGCTTCAAGATGTCAGCGCAGGGCCCCAGCACGCGCTCGAATCTGGAATGGACAGGAGTGTGAGGGAGCGTCGACTCGGACCGCTGCCCAGCACGGCCGCGATCCGCCCGCTGGAGAGGCGATCCTTCCTTCCACGATCACTGATCAGCTGGTATTTCACTCGGTAACTCTCTAACGTGACGAGCATTCCAACGCGGTGTGCAGAAGGTCGGGCTGAGCACTGAGCAGTTCAACTGTGTATCGCCAGTCCACAATGGCGTCGAGCTTCACTTTTGCCAGACTGAGCCCCGCCTCCAAATAACCGCGAAACCATCAAACGCACCGCATGAAACGTGTGGTAACTCGCGGCCCGTTCCAAAGGACTATGCACATCAACTCTGAAGTTTACACGGCCGCGGCCGCCGGCCACGACTAAGACCTTACTTCTACAGGCCGCCGGCCACGACAACCAAACAAAATCAACAGAAGGTTGGTTGATTTGTTCGCCCCGACGGCTCAATTCGTTGAAGGTCTATCTTTGGCCTCACCCACCCGCGGCAAGGGTTTGGGGCACTTCAGGGTGCTAGCTATTTGTCCATGACTGGAATGACCTGCAGCCTGTGACTGGCTGCGCTGAAGGTCAGGTGACGTCTTAGGGCAGGACAGACACGTGTTGGGTATCATGGGGCGTTAAACTTTCGTTACAAGTCTGACGGTAACCTGTCGAGTTCCACCATCGGATGGTTGGGCCAGGGCTCACGCAACGAACCCTTCTAGGAGCGTGCTCTGATCCCAGAAATCCATCAATTCAATATAAAAACGCCGGAATAAATCTTACTAAGAAAGCTAGCCGCATTTATCGTACAGCTCATACATTGCACATGTCATGCATGTGCTTCAGCTGCGCATACTATCGAACCACATCGGGAGCACACAGCCGCACAGAACGCTTCTGTCAACGCGTCACACGCCGGAGCACATACACTCAACTCTCAGCGCACGGCACACACGGGCCGCACTCGTGTACGCCTGCACACACCAGACAGGCGGCCCACTCCCTCCGTTGCCGCCCGACCTAACCCCGGCGCGGGCTCGTCACCAGCCGGCCGACCGGCCGGGCGGGCGCGGCGGCCGCCGCCGCTCTGCGTCGCCTCTCTCACCTGCCCCGGTCCAGCTTGACGCACTTGAGAGGGCCGCGCGCCACCACGGTGGCCGCCCGGGGCCGGTCCAGCATCAGTGCGATCTCGCCTGCGGGCACGCACGGAGTCAGCCGTTAGGGTAGGCACGGAGTCAGCCGTTAGGGTAGGCACGGAGTCAGCCGTTAGGGCAGGCACGGAGTCAGCCGTTAGGGTAGGCACGGAGCCAGCCATCAGGGCACGTATGGAGCCGTGTGCGGAGCCAGCCGTCGGGGCAGGCACGGAGTCAGCCGTTAGGGCAGGCACGGAGTCAGCCATCAGGGCACGTACGGAGCCGTGTACGGAGCCAGCCGTCGGGGCAGGCACGGAGTCAGCCGTTAGGGCAGGCACGGAGTCAGCCGTCAGGGCACGCCACGCAGCAGCTGCCGGGGCGCTCCGTGACATCAGCACCACAGCGGGCACGTCTAATCCAGGCACCCTCGCCGTGCGTCGATGTCACGGGCGGGTCGAGGGCCACTACGAGCGGGCCGTTGTGACCCAGCGCTCAGGTGGCCGGTGTACGATCAGGTCAGGTCAGGTCACGGCGGCGCGGCAGCGCCCCGCCGGCCGTCGCGCCCGCCTCTGGGGCCGAGCGCAACAGCCAGTGACGCCGGCGGCTGCCGAGAACGCAGCCGACGCCTTGGCCGTCTCAATGCCATCGGCGGGCGGCGTATGGCTTCACGAGGGCGACGTACGGCTTCACTTCGCTTCACAAGGACCGATGGGCTGTGGCTGTGGTCAGCGCAACGTAAAGCCCGACTCCTGCCCGGCACAGCCTCTGACACTGCGAGCCGCGGGCGCCGACTGCCCTGGTACAGCCTGTGACACACCGGGCTCTGCACGCCGCCTGAACCGCTGGTCAGGACCAGACGAACTGTGAGCGCAGACCGGTGGTCCGGCACGCTGACTACCGCAGTCTGTGCGGACGGCGACCTGACCTGGGCGCCCATCAACGTGCGGAACGGACGGGGCCGGGCGGCCGGCCCGGCTGTCCCTCCTGCGCGACACTGCACGCTCGCGATGCGCAGCGCCCCGGGGACGCGTCACGTGACAGCAGCGCGGACCCGCCTCCCTCGGCACCGCGCGCGCCGCCGTGCGGCGGGGTCGGTCGGAGCGCCGGTCCAGCCCGCGGCGGCCGCTCGCCCTCACCGAAGTAGTCGCTGGGGCTGAGCTGGCCGACCTCCACCGGCTCCTCGCCCTCGGAGCGTTGCTGCAGCACGGCCGCCTTGCCCTCCAGGATGATGAAGAAGTCGTCGCCCGGCTCGCCCTGCTTGACGACCGTCTCGCCGTCGGCGAAGGAGACCGGCTCCAGACTGTCGGCCACCGTCAGCCGCTCCCACTTGTCCAGGTTCTCTGTGAGGAAGGGACACAACACCACCGTCAGCCGCTCCCACTTGTCCAGGTTCTCTGCGACGAGAGGCGGCACATCACCGTCAGCCGGCGACGGCCAGTTGGACAAGCTCCTATTTGTTCCAGTTCTCCGTAATGAATTGCAGACCACACGGGAATCCAACACGTCCCAACAAAACATCCACCCAATTCCCGGCCAACCAACCATCGGCTGGATGAAATGTGGTGCATCACCGCAAATCCTCACAAAATTGATAGTGGCGTTGGATAGCGCTTGAGTCGTATTTTTTCCCATCCGAACGTGCTTGCGTCGACTAAGTTTCTGGAAAGCCTGCCATCTTGGGTTGCCGGCGGGTCCTTTTGCACGGAGCACGAGTTTCACCAGCCAAACGGCCGGGCTAAGAGGTAGCACATGAGGCAAATATGGAGCTTTGTTTTGTTTAACTCAGCTTAAAATGTCTGGTAAACAAACAGGAAAACCCTTTTATCTCCTGAAACACAATTTGAGGAGGGCATTAGCCTCCACTGTCTCCGCAAAAGCCCCAATGTTGACACGGCGACGGGCGAAGTCACCGAGGAAAACACAAAGGAGCTGTTGTTCAGCCCACACAAAACCTTCCAATGTGTCCTCAGCTGAACTCTGGACTGTTGCCAGATAAGAACGTGGATCTAAACAGCTGGCGTATGATTTCGAAACATGAGTAGCAGGCTACCAGTGAACAACCGTTTTCCTGTACAGTACCCGGTCCATTGGCCATACCAAGCGACGCGCTCCCATGCAGTCAGCATACAAAATCATCTACCGATGACGCCATGATCCACAGCAGCCAATGGCCATCGACGTCTTACCCAGAATGGACACCTTGCTCAAGAACTCCTCGTACATCTTGCGTTTTCTTATCGTTGACCCCATGAGGATCCTGTAACAACATATCCATGATCGCACGTTTGAGCATGCTGGTCTTGGGAAGAGCTTCCTCTCTTCACATCGCTCACAGCTACCCCTTGCACATATGAACCAAGGTTCGCAGCAACTGGCTGAAACGGTTTCTGCCGGCTGGTTTTTTACCGGTTAGAGCCAGATAATAAAACTGACGCCGAGTCAAAGACTACCAAAAAAGCAAGCATTGCAAAACATGTTGGGACTCGATCAAATTCGTGACGCAGCGTTACAGCAATAGAGCTTAGATCATATTTGGCGTTAGCAAAGCGCGAGCATTAAGAATACCAGATGAGACTGCCGTGGCTCTAGTACAACCTTCGGCAGGGGTGCTGCCATAGAGGCCAACATGCCGGGGGGCCTCTATCACTCCAGAACCCCCCCCCCCCCCATCCCGGGGACCGACCTCTGCCTGCGCAGGCGCGCCCACGTGATCCACGGGCCGCACCTCGCCACACGCCTCTCCAGCTCCAAGATCACACCTCACGAGTTATACAGCCATCTAACCCGATATACATGGTAAGGATTACCACTATAACACCGTGGCTTTTGAATTATCTCAATGCTTGTAATTGTAGGAATTACCATCGTGGTTTTCGAGATACGTCTAAGGTGACGCGAATACCATTACTCATGCGCCCATCAGAAAGTACATCCCACCATCTAAAATCACCAGATTTCCAAAAGCTCCGCATCCCAACCCAGCTGCCACCCAAACACTCGCACTTCTCCATCAGCTCTGCCTCCGTCTGACGGATTGCGACAAACCCGTGACTTAGCAAGTCCCCCCGCCCACCTTGCCACCCGCGTTACCTCCCCCCCCCATTGCAGTGCAGGTCGATGGCCAGTGGTACCGCCGGTAGGTCTCTCTGTTGACCCCCCCTCGGTCAGTCGTGCCACTGGCGGGTGTCCCTGTTGACCCCCTGGTGAGTCGCACCGCCGGCAGGTGTCCCTGTTGACCCCCTGGTGAGTCGCACCGCCGGCAGGTGTCTCTGTTGTATTGACCCCCGGTCAGTCGTACCGCCGGTAGGTGTCCCTGTCGATCTCCACCCCCCCCCCCCCTCCCCTGGTCGGTCGCACCGCCGGTAGGTGCCTCTGTCGACCCCCCCCCCCCTCTCCCCCCGGCCAGTCGTACCGCCGGTAGGTGTCCCTGTCGATAGCCCACAGCTTGATGTCGGAGCTGGCCTTGACTGTGGCCGCTCGCGGCGTGCCGTAGATGAGCGCTAGCTCGCCGAAGCTGCCGCTCTCGCCGATCGTCGTCACCAGCTTCGAGTCGACGTACACCTGGGGAGAGGCGAGCACGTCAAGCGTCCAGTCGACGTACACCTGGGGAGACGCGAGCACGTCAAGCGTCCAGTCGACGTACACCTGACGGCGGAGGAACGCGCGTCTGTCGGACACCTGTGTCTGTTGGTCACATCGGTCAGAGCTGAACACAGAGCAACTCGAGAAAGGTGCCAAGCACTAGCACGCACATGGATGGAAGCGCTTCAGAAGCGACGGACAGGAGCAGGATTCGGAAGTGAGGGATCGGCGGTGAACGTACGTTCTGTCGGTTCGACACACCCAAACCGGACAATACCAGACCCGCCCCCCAGCAACACAACGTACCGCCGGATGAAAGACTCTCACACAAGACTCGCGAGACCCTAGCGCGGCGCTGCAGGCCAACACTCGACCGTTGGCTGCGGCTCCGGAACGCTTCCCGCCGAACCCTTGCCCGTCAGCCACGTCTGCGGCGCAGTGGTGAGTCCACTCCACATAACCATCACGCTGTCAATGATAGGCGCGCTCGGCGCCGGCCGCCACAGCTTCCGCCGCCACGCCGGGCGCGCCAGGCCGGACCCGCGGGCGCACCCGTCGCGGCCGTCACGTGACCCGTCACGGTCGGCGGCCTGTCGGCGCCCCGTCACAACAGCCGTCACCGTCACCCCGCGGGCGGCCGGGGCCGCCCACCGCCGGTCGATGAATCATCATCATCTCCGCGGCGGCGGCCGGGCAGCCGGCAAAACGCCGCCGACAATGGGGCCCAATTACTGCCTCTCGATGGCCTCTCCCGTGGCGTCCAGCCACCGCGCGGCGGCGGAGGCGCCGCGGCACCCCGCCTCTGCAGATGCTGGCGTCGGACGGGGGCGGGCTGCGGTCCCGATCGGTAATCACCGCGTGTGACGGATGGGCCGGGTGATGCGGCTTGCAGTGATGATCCACAGATAATCCACCGGCCGTCGGATGGCTCGACATGCGATACGGTCGCGTGGTCGTGTCTCATGACCGCCAGAGCGGAGCCGATGCGATCACGTGGTCGTGTCTCGTGACCGCCAGAGCGGAGCTGACAATTTCCCTGCGATAGAATCGGGGCCCGTACCATGCACAACGACCTCCACCGGTGTCGGGTACGAATCATCGACGAGCGTGCCGTGTGGTGAGTTCGCGAGAAGCGCACTGAAACTATGGCACTAGAATCTCCAGGTGCATAATGATTATGAAGCCCCATGTTTAGGGCAGCCTGCAGCGATAGGTACTCCGTGCTACAAGGCGCTACGAGGATGAGATCGAAAGGTCGATGAACTGCCGTACACCTTCGCCTTCATAGCTGCACCATGAAATACGCAGCTGAACATCCAACCCCCCCCCCCCCCCCACACACACACAGCATCGTTGGAGCCGCCCTGGATGACTGAGCAATAAACGAGAGACGCTGGCTAGCGGTATCATCCACCACAGCGCTTTTTCCTGTTTCCCAATATTTCGAAGCGTGGATGACCTTTCTTCCAACTAGCGGGCCCAATTGTCCAAGCCTAGGATATCTCGCGCCGAAAATCCCGTTACCGCTGACGTCAGCACTTCTAAAGCCGACAGCGCACAACAGCTGCCAAAATTTGCCCGGGCACCACCGATTACGGATGTCCGAAGCGCCTACGGCGTCGGGCAGCCGCCTGCCCGCACAGCGCCGCGTCGGACGCTCTGCGATGACACTCCTCTACACGCGCCGCTAGGCTGTGCGATGCCACCCCGCGTCTCACCAGCGTTTTGCGGGGTCGCGTACTCCGCGCTGCACTGGACCGAGCGTCGGACGCGGCACGGCACGTGTCATGTGCGAGGGGTGTGGACGGTACCCGGGCCTGATCTGACCTGACCTGACCTGATCAGACAGCGGAGCGCATCCTGTCAGTGGCGAAACGACCAGACCACGACACAGCGATTAAGCCGGCGGATTTCACTGCCACCGCGGCGGCACCACAATCGTGCGGAGGATTCGCCGCGATCGAGGATCGCGAGGATCGCGATCGAGGATCGAGGATCGTGCGGAGGATCGAGTCCGGCCGCCCGCGGCCGGTCAGTGACGTCACACCGTCGCCGGCACTCGCTCGACGGTTACCAAGCGGACATCGCTGATGTCAGGGCGGTCGTGCGCTGAGGTACGCGGGAGGGCTTCCACGGCGAACGACGATCAACTCCAACTCCGCCACTCCGGTTCTTATTACCATGCCTCGTAGCTGGGAACTGGACACACCGCTGCCTTGCACCGGACACGTGCACAATACTGGAACAGAGCGTCTCTACCACACGCTGCCCAGAAGGTGGGAAGAGCCAGAGCCAGAGCCAGAGCCAGAGTGAGAGCCAAAATGAGGGAGAGGGCGCGAGGGCGCGAGTGCGAGTGCGAGTGCGAGTGCGAGTGCGAGTGCGAGTGCGAGTGCGAGTGCGAGTGCGAGTGCGAGTGCGAGTGCGAGTGCGAGTGCGAGTGCGAGAGCGAGAGCGAGTGCGAGTGCGAGTGCGAGTGCGAGTGCGAGTGCGAGTGCGAGTGCGAGTGCGAGTGCGAGTGCGAGTGCGAGTGCGAGTGCGAGTGCGAGTGCGAGTGCGAGTGCGAGTGGCGAGTGCGAGTGCGAGTGCGAGTGCGAGTGCGAGTGCGAGTGCGAGTGCGAGTGCGAGTGCGAGTGCGAGTGCGAGTGCGAGTGCGAGTGCGAGTGCGAGTGCGAGTGCGAGTGCGAGTGCGAGTGCGAGTGCGAGTGCGAGTGCGAGTGCGAGTGCGAGTGCGAGTGCGAGAGAGAGAGAGAGAGAGAGAGAGAGAGAGAGAGAGAGAGAGAGAGAGAGAGAGAGAGAGAGAGAGAGAGAGAGAGAGAGAGAGAGAGAGAGAGAGAGAGAGAGAGAGAGAGAGGGCTCAGGCAGCTACGGTCCGGGTTTCACTTGGTATTGCTGAAGGAAGATGGTCCAAAGCCAAGGCAAGGCCTGACAAGACGCCGCCAGGTGCTGGACACACCGCTATCTCGTCACAGGGTATGCCATATGTCGTATGTCGTCATGCACGGTCTAGGGAGATCGTCCATGCTTTTCGGCTGAAAGGACAGATGGGCCTGTGTACGGAGTCCTCCGAAGAAGGGACACACAGACCACCAAAATCAGCAGGCATGTGCATACATCACGGACAGTTACGACACCCAGCGCCACACACAGGATGGTGTAAGTGCGATGGTACTTCTCCCGCGTAGCAGTACCCAGCAGCGCTCGTTCAGGCAGGCCGACAGAGGACAGGCCCCGCTCCAACCCAGTCCCACCGGCGGAGGGCCCGCTCCGGGCCTGGAGCGGAGCGCCCGCGCCGCCCGCCCGACGGCCACCTACCTCCACCTCTCCCGAGTCGATGACGTAGAAGTTGTCGCCCTCGTCGCCCTGCTGGATGATCGTCTCGTCCTTCAGGAAGTTCTGCGCGAACATGGCGTCGAATATGTCGGACCTGGGGACGGACAGGCCGGGTCAGCGGTGGCGCGTCACAGCCCGACAGCGTGGCAGTCTGGCAGTCCGGCCGCAGCCGAGGAAGCCGCCGAGACACACTGCGGCTCAACCGGCACAGGCCACCAGCCACCAGTCAGCAGAAGCAACCGCCACAGGCCACCCGCCGCCAGCCGGCAGAAACAAGACTGATCAGGCTGCGTGCTACATTGTTCATCAGGTCTGCAGGTCTTAAACCCTGACATGATCCTGGCATTTTACCGGCATTCCCTCAGCTGCGATTCAAGGGAGCTAAGCTGCGCCGCTGAGACAGCAGTATCTGCCATCCGCCGATGCAGCAGTGTCTGCCGTTGGCTGAGGCAGCAGTGTCCGCCTTTGGCCGATGCAGCAGTGTCTGCTATCGGCTGAGGCAGCAGTGTCTGCCATCGGCCAATGCAGCAGTGTCTGCTGTCGGCCGAGGCAGCAGTGTCTGCCGTTGGCTGAGGCAGCAGTGTCTGTCATCGGCCGATGCAACAGTGTCTGCTGTCGGCCGAGGCAGCAGTGTCTGCTGCCGGCCGAGGCAGCAGTGTCTGCCATCAGCTGAGGCAGCAGTGTCTGCTGCCGGCCGAGGCAGCAATGTCTGCTGTCGGCTGAGGCAGCAGTGTCTGTCGTCGGCCGAGGAAACTTGCCAGGGAAGATCCACGGAGGCCCAACGTACTGAACCTAGTATCCTATCGCTGAGCAGGCCTGATACATCGCATTTTAAGTACAGTAAGCATTTAAGTAAGCCGAGCCCTTTCGTCGGTACCAGGCCTGGCGAATAACCACAGACGCGATGTCAGGCATGCTAACCAAATGTGACTAGCGAGGATCAGAATCAAGGCTGGGGAAGGCAGCTTGTTCCGACCACGACACTCAAGTTTATGACTTCTGCAATGGGGTTGGTCCCGATATGGTAATTGGGAGACATTCAAAATTGCTTGCTCTCCAAGGAGACCAGATATTTAAATACGTAAAATGTGCTGATGTCGTGTGTGGAAGTCATACCATACTCAGCTTGACATATGCGCGCTTTTCAAAGATATTCTTACTTTTCTAAAGAACGCACTGAGAAGCTGCTGGCGGATATTTCACGTGCATATCTGAGCAGAACCTAACCGAGCCGAAATTCTGCACGGTCGTAATTCTCATCGTTTCCACACGCAATAGTGTACGCAGAGATCAACAGACACGCGCAGACCGTGGCACAAATACACGGACACTCTGAGCCATAAAGACGCGTATTCGCGGCATTCACCAGCACGCGCCCGCGGAAAACCAATCACAATTTGTCGCGCAGTGCTGGCGCTGCGGCAAGCCCGCCGCCGCGCGTGCCGTGTCAGGTGTGCCGCGCTGTGACCCAGGCTCCACCCGTGCCGGCGGCGCGCCTGCCCGGCACCTCCCCGGCACCTCCGACCCAGTCGGAGGCGCAGCGCCGCCGGTCCCGCCAGCAAGCTGCTGACAACGGCCGGCGGGAGCGTCTCCGGATGACGGCGGCGACGGCGGCGATCGGACAGCAGCACTTTTCTTCAACGACAGGTGTGGCCATGATTGACTGGGCCTAGCTGGCCGGAAAGGATTTCAGAGAACGAGCAGACCAGGACCAGGAGGCGTCAGGAGTCACACCAGAGCCGTGGTACAGAGCCGCGTCAGGACCAGAAATCGACGCGTTGGCTCCACACGTTGTGTTCTGGGCTACCGTTCAGCGGAGCGTTCAGAGCCAACGTCCAGTTTTGCTATGCCTCATCCCAGGCGGCACACATCGCATTTGGTCTTCACCAACATTTCCGTCAGCAGGACACCACTGACGCGCGCGTGCACCTCCGCTGCGCCGACTCGGCAACACGTATTCCCGCCCCTTCCCTGGGGGCGTCACAGGTCACCCCAGGCTCTATGCTCTCTCTCCAATGGTCTCCTTAAGACGTGACCGCCTATCCGGGACGGAAATGGCGGCTGGCCGGCCACGGTCAATTCGCGGGCCGCATTCATCAGTGGAGGGGGGGGGGGGGGGCGGGGGCGTAGGCGGCAGCCATGACCTGGCCGATGGTCTCGTTTGCATTCAACAGAGCGGCGGAACTAGTCGGATGATGGTAGCGAGACGATCCGGGTGATAGCGGTGATAGCGGTGAGAATAGCCTGAAGATAGCGGTGATAGCGGCGAGACTATCCAGATGATGCCGGTGCGCTTCAGAAAATAGTCCGGCCACACGCTGCCGCCAACCGGCACGCCACCGCGGCCGGTGCCGCTGCTGATGCCGCTGCTGTCGCTGCTGCCGACAGCGGCGCCAGACCGGCCCGAATACGACCACACTATGCTGGATGAATGGTGGCGGCGGGCGACGACCGCGGTGGCGGCGGCCTCCAGCGTAACCGTTCGCAGATAACAGCGCGCTCGCACCGACGTTTAAGCCGATTTTGTTCATGATGCCGGCTGGTCGCCAGACACATGAAGGCTGTGGGGATGAGGACACTCAGAGTTTTGCAAATTTTAATAATAGACTTATGGTGTAAAAACCAACAGGAGCACTCACGGGTAAAAATCTTACGCCACCGGGGCCAGGGACATAGTGAATTGGGGAGAAAAATGAATTGAAAGAAAAGGAGAAAATGAAAACAAATGAATTGGTGACAAAGGCCGAGCAAAGAAAAGGAGCAAGCATAAAATAAAGAGGAATAAAAAAAGCACCCAAAATGACACCCACACAAGACTTCGCCCCGAGTTTGGATCATTTTCTTCCTAAAGTTGGGGAGGAACCCCCGCTGAAAAGGGAACCACACTCCTCCACACAACATCATACCGGTGCAGCACCAGTGCTGACCAGTGGCCAGTGCAGTGAGGGGCGGGGGAATGGGCCACGCAATAACCTCAGCTATTGACGCTTCGATACCGATCCAGGTGACCAACCCCGCAGATCACTACCGATCCCCGGCCCAGCCCAGGTGACCAAACCCCGCAGATCACCGCCGATCCCGGCCCAGCCCAGTCACCGGCCGATCCCCGGCCCATGCCCAGGTGACCAAACCCCGTCAGATCACCGGCCGATCCCGCCCGGTACAGAACAGCGGCCCACCCCGGCCGCGGCCCGACCCGGGCCAGCTTTGTCAGTGGCTGCCGGACGGTGGGAGGAGCCGCCCCGACTTGACCCGTCTCCAGCCGCTGCCAGCCGACGCCCAGCGCCCCCGAAAGACGAATGTGACGTCACGGCACCTGTCTGAAGTGTGTGCAACAATGGTCGGGCATGGCAACAAGCGCACACAGGCTGATGCATGGCGCCTTGCTTTTCTACACGTGACGCTGGGGCTGCGCACAGAAGGGATAATCTGACAGCCTGTCTTCCTCACAGAAGAGAAGCTGGGACATCCTCTGTCCTCCTCATATTTGTATTTTGCCTGCATGTGTACACACATTGGCGCGAACTACATCGGCATATGAATGCGACATCATTTCCATTTGACCTCAGCTCCCTACTTCACATTCATTGGACGAGCAGATCCGTAGGCGCATACTTCAACCGTCGATAGTTCACCGACAGATCAAACGCTGGACCACTGGCGTCGCACACTCTCAGGCTGGCTGTCGCCATAGGACCTCCAAAATGCTGCGTAATGCGCCGGGTTTGAACCACCTGCTCTCGATACCGTCATGTGCAGACTACGCCAAGATTCAGCGAAATTTTAACCAACGTTTCTTTCGCCACCACTTCTGCCGAGCTGCCGGTCGCTCGGAGTCGTCAGCGGCCAGCGGCTGCCGACCTCCTCCAGCGTGGCTGTTGGGGCGGCGCTCCGACAGGCGCCTCCATCGGTCTGTGCCGCCGCGCGCCTGTCGCTGCTCCCGCCGCTCCCCAGAACCCCTGCCAGCGTACGGCGAACCGGCGGCCGGCTATCTATAACCGGCGGCCGCCTATCGCCAACATCAGCCGTCGGCGGCGCCATCACAGCGCGGCGGCGGCGACGGCCCCGTACGGGCCGGCCAGGAATAGCGGCCGGCCGCTGCCGCTGGCGCAGCCGCTGCCGGCAGGCGGCTGCAGGAGGCGGCGGCGAACACCGGCACGAACGGGCGGACGGGGGAAGAGAAGTAGGTAGAAGCACCGCAGAAGCATGCCGCAATGTCCAGGTAGTCCCGCAAACTACGCCCACTTCTGCCAGTATAGGCGTCTCATCAAAGTGCCGTCCAAAGCTTTGAACTCCTCCCCCCCCCCCTCCCACTGTAATTTTACAAACAGCTAGCTTCGCTTGCAATTCAGTGCGAAATAAAACGGACTGCAGCTCTGCATAACCCAGCCTGGTCTTCGTGGGACATAAAAGCGGGACTCATTGACAGTGCGCGTCTGCCTGCAGAAAACCAATTACACATGCCATTACAGACGGGCGGAATCGAGCGCCAGTGACGGGGGCCGGCGTCTGGTCGCGTGCAGATCCGCTACCAAGGGACCGCAGGCCATCGTCCGGCTCGGTCCGCCGGGGCCCATACCGCCAGCCCATATGAGCACTGCACCCGCCCCGGGGAGCGCCCACACGTGGAGCACTGCCTGGTGTCCACAGAGCGTCAACACACGGAGCACTGCCTGGTGTCCGCAGAGCGTCAACACACGGAGCACTGCCTGGTGTCCGCAGAGCGTCAACACACGGAGCACTGCCTGGTGTCCGCAGAGCGTCAACACGCGGAGCACTGCCTGGTGTCCGCAGAGCGTCAACACACGGAGCACTGCCTGGTGTCCGCAGAGCGTCAACACACGGAGCACTGCCTGGTGTCCGCAGAGCGTCAACACACGGAGCACCGCCTGGTGTTCGCAGAGCGTCAACACACGGAGCACTGCCTGGTGTCCGCAGAGCGTCAACACACGGAGCACCGCCTGGTGTTCGCAGAGCGTCATCACACGGAGCACCGCCTGGTGTCTGCAGAGAGTCAACACACGGAGTACCGTCGGGTGTACGGTCTCACCGGTTTCGGTAGAAAACCACAGACGACCATTGCACACGACACGAGAGACATTTGCCGACAGTGACATCAGTGTACAAACGCTACGCAGCCAACCGCATCAGTCCACCAGCCCTGCACTCTCACCTCTCATTCTCGTCCAGATGTGAGAAGAGCACGTTTTTGGCTATGGCTTTGCTGAGAGCTGCCATGGTCTTGTAATCCTTGGGCACCACCTGCGGAAAAGGCGCACGGTTAGGACAAAGTCAACATGGCGAACACCAGTGAGCAAACGCATGCAGTTCACGATGAGGAGCTGATTGGTGCGAAATGAATATTGAAGACCTCATATCAGAACTCCAAACTTCTTTAAGCCACATCAAATAAAGAAATAACCTTACATTGTCCCCTGGGTTAAGCCGGGTAAAGTCAAACGTTAAATCAACACATCGAACTCCAGCAATGGGCGTCAAAACACACCGTTTTTAAGAATCAAGGCCACAGCCTTGCTGCCCCACGGAAACAACTTCAAACCATCGGCAAGCGTTGACCTAGCCGCTTTTAGCCGCACTTAGAACACAAATGTAACGTTCAGTTTTAGCATCGCAGGGCATCATCGCAGGCCACCGGCCCCAGCCCTCGCCCCTCCCCCGAGTCCACTATGGTGACGTTCCGGCGGTGCGCCACACCCGACCGGCGCAAGAGGCGCCGTGTTCTAGCCAGCGACAGCAGGCGTGGCCCACCCACCACCCCGCCGAAGCCGCGGCCGGCGGCCGACCGACTACCCGCCGGCTGACTTATGGCCCAATCAGGCGGGATCGCCGACAACGAGCGGCACGCCCCGCCGCCGGCACACACACGGACCGGAACGTCCGGCGTCAGTGGCGGCAAGCGCGGCCCATCGCGCGACAGCCGTCGAGTCGGCTCATTTCGGCGACTCGGCCTGCATGTGGCGCTGATGGGCGTTCTCATTTCTCCTTCCCACGGCGCTGACCAAACTAATGGCGAGGGCGGGGAAATTGGCGGACAGTAAAAACCGTTTATTCTTAGGGAGGCGGTTTATCTGTCTGAGTTTTGTCCAAAACAGCGATTAATCAACTACAACAGCACTTTAGAAATACTTCTGCCGATGTTTTCTTCCACGACCGCAATTTCATGCCAGTTCGTGTCACTGAGTAGACGATGAAGACACACAAGAAGCTCGTTTGGCCGCAGTCCAAACTGGCTCCAGCCACAGTCGGGAATCCGCTCCGTAACCAGCCGACGCCAATATACGGCCCGGCCGCGCCGACACGGAGCGCCCGAGGCGTCCACAGGACGCGCCACGCGGCCGCCCCCGGAGACAGACAGGCTCGGCGTCGATCTGACGCGCCGCCGGGTCAGGGGTCACGCGTCAGGCGCGACCCCGGGCCGGGGGTCGGCGCCGGCGCGGGTGGCGCGGCGCGAGTCAGCACGCCGCCGCCAAAGCCAGGCGAGCGGCTGCGGCTGGGCAGTGACCTTTCCACTTGGGCAAGTCTATCCGTCCACCGACAAAGCGCATAGGACTTCCGCATCGGTGCGTTGTGCGTTGTTTAACTCACTTTTGGCCATGCTTATTCTACTACAGGGCATCACACCGGGATCTGCAGCGTCAAAGACGGCACCCGCCGCCTTGTTCCCAACCCTCTTCACCCACGAGGCGCGGTGTGACACTGCACACTGAGCTGAGAGACAAACGACGGGGTATGCAACGAGTGTACAGACCTTTCCACGGGAAATTGAGATGCCGTCGAACCAGACAATCAACGTAATAGCCGGTGTTGCAGAGCACTTAAAATTGTGAAAATGGCGTGATATGCTCACAGGAGTATATCGCATATCTGGTATACTTGAACACCTTCTTAAACGAGCACTTTCACGTGAATTAACTATTCCGTCACCTTTGTTCGTTCTCTAGATGTGAAGTAGCCATTTTATAAGGTCAGGCGAAGATCAAAAGCGATGGGCAACATCCCTGACGAGCAGTTATCATGGTCTATCATAAAATGATCCATAAAACCTACAATGAAACAAACAGTTCTGAAATCGCTGAAACATTTGCAGCCCGTACGACTGCAAACATACCGCGCTGACGTCACTTGGCGCCGCGACATCACCCCACCAGTCGCCCCGCTCCCCCTCCCCCTCCCCCACAGTGACCTCATACACGCCCAAGGGATGACGATGCCCCCGGGTGCCGACGCATCCACCCGTCATGAATGGATCATGGGCGCCGTCGTCGTTGGACCATTCAGCTGGATGGTGCGGTGTGATTGCACAGAGACGCTTCCTCCATCCCAAGATACTCTCCATTGGCAATGAATGGCAAAGGAACATCAAAGGAATAAGGGCTGATACTGACTCGTGCACGCAGAGGTTCCTCGGAGAAAACGGGCGTAACCATCCTGCCGGGCATCTCCTAATATTTGGAGCACATCATGCACCTCCTGCGGCGCTTCATAGACGATGGATGTACCTATGCACTCGCCGATCAGAATTTAGATCCACCTAGCCATTTGCCAATAAACTTCCCATGCTGGAAGGCGGTCATGGCACGTTCGAGCAATAATCCTGCCCAGCTCCGAAAAGCGTTAACCAGTTCAAGCGAGAAATATCTAGATTTCGCGCGGCGGCTGAGGCACCTTCCAAAAAAGTACGCAGATCTCCTTCCGGTTGTTTCGTCTTGCAGTCGCCTCGAGCACCGCGATAATTTTGGGCCACCGCTGCATTCACAATCCCACGAGGATCAAGCCCCAGTGCGAGGCTCTGGCCTCGCCTTCTTTTAATCCCCTACGAAACGACCTTGCATTCGAAAGAGATGTTGCAGCACAAAGCGATCTGACACCGCCATAGCCTCTCAACTACCTTGCACGAAAGCAGCCGTCCACATGCGGCTGACTCCGGCAATCTCATGCCCTGAGGGCGTACCCTCGGGAGCGAGAGCCAATCGCGAGAGCCTTTCGCTCTAGTGGGCGCGAGGTGGCATTTCAGCCGGGTGGCGCCGCAGCAGCGACGCCACGAACGCCGCAGCAGCCCGGCCGTGAAATTCCGATAATTGGAGGGGCGTCAGGATGAAAAATCGACACCTCAGCCCCGACAGGCAATATGTGAATGATGAATGACTTCGACGGTAATGGAGACGGATGCTGCCAGACCGTGACGTCACTACAAACCGGGCTGATCCAGTGACGTCACTTCACACCGAGCTGGCGGTTAACTACCGACGATCGACGCACGCGGATCTGACAAGATGAGACCGAGGCGTGGCGACCCGGAGAGTGCGTGCAAAAGGAGATACGGGGAAAACTGGTGCCCCGCCGGAAACTGCGTCGTCTACTCACTGGAACAGATCGGTCGCCACTTCCACGGTGCTCTGAGCCAGTGCTCTCACCGCCTCTATAAAAACCCACTTAAAGCTCCGTAAATGCCCCGTAACACAATCCAATACGACGAGTATGCGGAGCAACGTATACCGAACAGCCACTGGCCAAAACTAAGCAAACAACCTTTAAGAATTCCCCTGGTTTTACAACTGTTTGCCAGTTTACCTGCGTCAGCAATGCTGTTTTCACCATATCTGGGCTGAAAGCAAACGGAGCTAGTGTGCTCAGCTTGGAGGAATGTCCAATCCTAAACGAACGGAACTAGTGTGCTCAGCTTGGATGAATGTCCACTCCTGAACGAACGAAACCAGTGTGCTCAGCTTGGAGGAATGTCCAACCCTGAACGAACGGAACCAGTGTGCTCAGCTTGGAGGAATGTCCAATCCTAAACGAACAGAACTAGTGTGCTCAGCTTGGAGGAATGTCCACTCCTGAGCAAACGGAACCACTCCTGACACCGTCTCCATATAGCTTCCAACCACTCGACGAGGCACCGCGATATCTCGCAACAAGCAAATGAAGAACTAAATAAAACACGAAACAGCTGCTTTCGGTAACACCCGGCCGTATACGTCAATGAATATGCAGTCCCCGAGCCAGGTGCGTACATGTTCCTTGGCCACATCGATGGCACTTGACATCCATCCGGCCCATCAGCAGGTTATTTCTGAGTCATTCTTGACAGCCCATTATTGATCGATAGTTGATTGTTGAGCTAAAGCGTGTTTCCTTCGGTTTATCGGACGCCTAACACACATCGATCAGCACACGCTTAGCACATATTGTGTGTGCGGCCTGTACTGCTATCTACGGCCTCTCTGCGCATCTGAGTATGGTATCATACTAGTGCGCACTCCTCTCTCTCTCTCTCTCTCTCTCTCTCTCTCTCTCTCTCTCTCTCTCTCTCTCTCTCTCTCTCTCTCTCTCTCTCTCTCTCTCTCTCTCTCTCTCTCTCTCTCTCTCTCTCTCTCTCTCTCTCTCTCTCTCTTCTCTCTTCTCTCTCTCTCTCTCTCTCTCTCTTCTCTCTCTCTCCTCTCTCTCTCTCTCTCTCTCTCTCTTCCTCTCTCCTCTCTCTCTCTCTCTCTCCTCTCTCTCTCTCTCTCCTCTCCTCTCTCTCTCCTCTCTCTCTCTCTCTCTCTCTCTCTCTCCTCTCTCTCTCCTCTCTCTCTCTCTCTCTCTCTCTCTTCTCTCTCTCTCTCTCCTCTCTCTCTCTCTCTCTCTCTCTCTCTCTCCTCTCCTCTCTCCTCTTCTCTCTCTCTCTCTCTCTCTCTCTCTCTCCTCTCTCTCTCTCTCTCTCTCTCTCTCTCTCTCTCTCTCTCTCTCTCTCTCTCTCTCTCTCTCTCTCTCTCTCTCTCTCTCTCTCTCTCCTCCGGCATCTGGCGAGGTCTGAGCCGGAGTCCAAGTTCCGTTGAAACCGACAGTGCTGCAGCGCCACAGGCGCTTCAATTAGTTCAACTTTCTAACGGGGCGTCGTAATGTATTGTGCAGTGTTGCCGGTGCACCGTTTAACTAGCACTGAACTGCTTACCAACTATACGTAGATAATAGGTGTTGCTGTTACGTCCTGGGACATCAATAACCAATTAATCACGCCAATGGAAGCGCAGGAACGATGCAAATTTTTCACAGGTAACAAATGCATGCACGCATGACATGAAACACAAATATTGATAGGATTCTCCTACTATGACCAAACACAACCACAGCTTTTGGTTCAAACGAGACCAAGAAGCACACAAGAACAAGGTGACAGTTTTTACAAATGCTTAACCACTGCCCAGCGCGACGCTTCCGCACATTTCAAAGTTTCTGCCATCAGAAACGCTCAGAGAGCA